CACTCGTATCTCCACTTGACTATCCTGCTCTCTCACTCACTGTGACAACCCATTTCATTTTTTTTGTCTGTTCTCATTTTTCTTTTTTCAGAACTGGGACAGAACCCAGGGCCCTTCCCCTGAGCTACCCGGACCTTTTTAAATTATTATTTTTTTTTTTGGTACCGGGGATCCAACTTGGGTCCTTGCACTTGTAAGGCAGGTGGCAGAATCATTGAGCTAAATCCCCAGCCCCTTTTTAAATTATTTTGAGACAGGGTCTCACTAAGTTCCCAGAGCTAGGCTGGATCTTTCTTTTTTTTGGTACTGGGGATCGAACTCGGGTCCTTGCACTTGGACAGCAGGCGGCGAAACCACTGAGGTAAATCCCCGGCCCATAGGCTGGATCTTTTGATCCTCCTGCCTCAGCCTCCAGAGTGCTGGGATGACAGGCATGTGCCACCACACCTGGCTCTGTTTTCTTCTCTGAACTGACCGCTGCCCAAAGTGGTTTTGCTCAGAGCCTGGCAAACATTTCTCACAGTGGGGCAGACGGTGAATATTTCCAGTCCCACTACTTGGCTCTGGTTTTAGCAGAAAGTCATCAAGGACTGCGTGGGAATGGGTGGGTGTGGCTGTGTGCTGATAAAACTTTATTGACAAAAAACTTTATTAACAAAAACACTTCACTGGGCCGGAGATTTAGCTCAGTGGTTTTGCCGCCTGCTGTGCAAGCGCAAGAACCCGAGTTCGATCCCCGGTACCAAAAAAAAAACAAAAGACACTTCACTGGGCCGGGGATTTAGCTCAGTGGTTTCGCCGCCTGCTGTGCAAGCGCAAGAACCCGAGTTCGATCCCCAGTACCAAAAAAAAAAAAAAAAAACCACTTCACTGACAAAAAAGTGGCTCAGATGCTATGGAGGTGGCAGCCACTGTCAGCTGACCCTTGATTCCTGGCCTTATTCCCCACCTGTTACTCAGCATTCCTTGGGGGCATTGAGTTCCTAGATTCCCTGATGTCACCCACATCCCCAGAGGCCTACGTGACCCATAGTGGCTGCTCAAGAAACGTGACAGCCAGTGCAGTGTGCACACCTGTCATCCCAGCACTGGAGGCTGACACGGGAGATGGCAAGTTTGAGGCCAGCTCGGGCAACTTAGTGAGGCCCTGTCTCAAAAACTTAAAGGGCTGAGGATGCAGCTCAGTGTGAAGGTCCTGGCTGGGTTCAGTGCCCAGTACTGCAAAAAACCAGTCTCAGGTCCAAGCGGTCACATGGCTCCCACCACCACCATCCTGCCACTGTCCTCCCGAGTGCACCTGCTGTACACCGGGCACCTGTCATGAGCCAGGCTGCTCCAGAGCTGGGGAACAGAGCCCTTGCACTCTTAGGGGAAGGGAGGGAGGTGTCAGAAAACACAGCAAAGCCATCTACATCAGGGAGTGACAAGTGGTGTGGTGACAAAAGGGGGAGGGTATAATAAGAAGGCAGGGCAGAGGAGGGGACAGATGGAGGAGACGGGATTGTTTTACCTCAAGAAGGTCAGGGAGGGCTCACTACAAGAAGAAATTTGAGTAAAACCTTGAAGGAACTAAAGAAGCAAGTGACAGATTTGGAAAAATAGAGATCCAGGCAGTCACGGCCATGCAAAGGCCCTGGGGCAACATGGAGCCCGGCATGGTGCAGAAACGAGGAACCCATGAGGCCGGAGAAGAGGAAAGGAAGAGCAGAGGGGGAGGAGAGAGGCAGGGACGGGATGGGCGGACCAGGCAGGGCCCGTGGGCTCCAGGAAGGACCCAGGCTTTGGCCTCAGGGAGGTGGGAGCCCTGGAGGGCTGAAGGCAGAGGAGGGTCGGGATCTGAGCCAGTCCTTAACTGGATCCTTCCAGAATGAGCGTGCTGGTCCAGGCAAGCTAACGATGACGGAGATGGACCAGGTGGAGGCAGAGGAGGGGGAGACGTGGGCAGATTCTGGGCTGATTCTGAAGGCTAAGCTGACATAGTTCGCTACCAGATTAGATGGGGGGAGGAATAAGGCCACTGCTTGAGGTGGCCGGACACAGAACGGAGCGGGAAATGGCTCAGGCCAAAACCCAAGTGGAGCATCAGCCTTCACAGTAGGCCAGGCGGATGTCCCCAGGCCCCAGCCCCCAAGAGACCACTCTGGCAGCCACCAGAGAACGCCTGGCAGGGAGGCCAGCCAAGGGTTTGGCCAGGCCTCAGGAGCAAGGGACCCCTGAACACCGGCCTTGCTTGTTCCCATGGGAACAGCTGAGATTACAGCTGCCGGTGACATCAGGGGCTTCAGTGCTTCGGGAGATGCTGGATGGAGCTGGGCCCAGCCTCCTTCCGTCTGCTTGCCCTTGACCCAGCCACCAACAGGCAGGCACACTGACTGTGGGAGGTTGAGCACCCAGTTCAAGGATGCTTACGAGATGTTGCTTCTACCAACAGAAAGCACCTGCATGGGCCCAGCAGGCCCAGGCCCAGGGCCACGCACAGGGACACTAGGCTGGTGCCCGGGGTCACTAAGCCCCATTCATTTACAGGTCAGGGTGGCAGCCCAGGGCAAGGGCAGTCAGCGCCCCTCTTTACGGATGGCTGAGGCTCAGCAGGTGAAGGTTACACAGCAGTGAAGCTCCACGGTGTCTCCTAATAACTGATCCAGAGGTGCGGACAAACTATTTCAAGATTGCTACAGACAACACAATGGTGCATGCCTGTCATCCCAGCACACAGGAGGCTGAGGCAGGAGGATCACCCAGAGTTCAGACCAGCCTGAACTACATAACAAGACCCTGTCTCAAAAACAAAACAAAAAAAAGGGGCTGGGGATGTAGCTTAGTGGTGTTGCGCCTGCCTGATAAGCACAATGTCCTGAGTTCAATCTCCAGTACCAGAAATAACAAAAACAAAAAAAAAGTTGCTACACACAGAAAGTGAGTGAGTCAGAGTATCACAGAACCAGGGTTCTTACCAAGGGTGAGTCTATCCTGGCACACAGTATCGGTGGGCAGTACCTGAGGACATCTGAGGTTGCCCCAGTGGGGATGCTTGTGGCATGGAGCAGATGGAGGCCAGAGATGCTACTGCTCTAGTCCCCACAATGCCCCTCAAAATAAAGAATTTTAGCCAGGTATGGTTGTGCATACCTGTCATCTCAGCATTCTGGGAGGCTGAAGCAGGAGGATCCCAAGTTTGAAGTCAGCCTGGGCAACTTAGTGACTTAGTGAGCCCCTGTCTCAAAAAAAAAAAAAAAAAAGGCTGGGGATGGAGCTCAGTGTGAAGGCCCTTGGTTCTACTACCCAGTACATCAAAAAGAAAAAGAAAATGTGTGGACAGTCACCACCCAAACTCCAAGGCACTTACAGCAGGAGAAGGTGGGTTCAGAGGAGCAAATAGCTGGCCGGCTGGTAGAATCTGATCTCGGTGGATTTCAATGCAGTGCCGGTAGGGGCCCACCCTTATCTCCCAGCCCCTCTGTCTGTCCCCAATCAGATCACCAAGCCCCTGATAAGCCAAATGCTTGCCCTGTGGCCTCCTTGTGGTTAATGAGTCTGGTTCACTGTGAGGGCTGCGGGCAGCAGGAAGTGGGGGGGGGGGTGTGCTGGGAAGGGACTCAGACAGGGGGCCATAGCCCTGCTGGGTTCTTCCCTTGGGCCTGCCTACTGCTGGCCACACTGGGCACTGGTGTCAGCAGAGATGAGAAGGCAGGGGGATGAACAAGGAGGCCATCTCTGTGGTAGCTTGCTCTCTTCCTGTGTCTCTCTCTCTCTGTCTTCAGACATTTTTCCCAATTCCCAGGCAGCCTGGTATCTCCTCCTCGCCCGCCCTCCTGCCAAGAAAGCTTCAGGAGGCCTGGGGAGGAGGATGGGTGCTCCTATGGGTATCTTCAGGGATGCCATGGTGGCCGCCAGGGAGAGCCACCTCGGGGGAGCACGAGTTTTGCAAATCTGGACACTTCCTCTCCCGGAGCTTGTGACCTCCAAGGAAGCACTCTGTGCTGTGGGCTCTGCACACCACCCTGTGAGACGCAGGCCAGTGCTCGAGGGAGGCGCAAAGGAGAAGCAAAGACAGCTGTGCTGTGCCCCGGAGATCTGAGGCCCGGACAGTGTCCAGGAGAAGAGGCATGGGGGTGGCAGGGATGGTGGGGCACTAATGCCATCTCCTATTCCACCAGCTCTCAGGGTAGATACTCTGAAACATCATTCCTTTAAACTCGGCATTTTACAGAGAGGTAAATTGAGGCCTGAAAGGCAAGGAAGAGTTTTCTTGCTACTGGGCGCAACAGTATCCAGGTCTGGGGACTTCTAGAAAGACAAGTGACACAGAGGCCTGACCCAAATCAAAGACCCCCACCCCCACCAAGGCAGGTGTTCTGCTTCAAGACCATACAGGTGACTGCTTTGCCGGTGAACAGGCCTGGAAGGTGACAATGGCGAGATGGGCACCCCGGGGGGGGGGGGTGGCACTAGGAAGTCGGGCAGGGGTCGCATCTTGGGTCGAATGGAGTTTCTGAAGCATTCCACACAAAAGCGAACAAGAGCGGGTGAGATGCCGTCCCCAAGCTCCCTAAAGGACGCAGATCGCCCACCTTGCCTCCCAAACAGGGGTCCCCCAGCAGACCTGCAGACCTTCTTTCCTACTTGATTCTAACGGTGGCTCGCTACACTCAGACTCCCAGACCAGGCCCTTTACCCTCCCTAGACCGGCCTCCCACCCTCCGCCCCGGCCCCCGGAAAGGGCGGAGCCAGGCGACCCCCGGGCCTCTCAGGCAGCGTCCCACAGCCTCCCGCGCGCGCCCCCGCGAGGACCACTCCGGCCCGGGGACCCCCCTGCGAGCGCCCCCGAGTGGACCACTCCGGACCAGAGACCCCCGCCGGCGCCCCCTAGTGGACCACTCCGGCCCGACGAACCCCCCCGCACGCCCTCGGTCCCCCGCGCGCCCGGGCGAGCCCACTGCGCGCCGGCGGGGGTAGCCAGCCGGCCCATTCAAACCAAGGGGGGCGCCTCAGGGCCGCACCGTTACCTGCCGCCGCCCCGCTCTCCGCCGCCCAGGCCGCCTCCGCCGTCACGGCCCCCCCCCCGGCGCTCTCCGCCTCGTCCGGCACCTCCAGCTCCATGGCCAAGCGCCCTGGCGGCGGCGGCAGGCCCGAGGTTGCACCCGAGCTCAGCCGCCGCCGCTGAACAACAAGCGCCACCGGCCCAGTGCGGAGGGAGGGTCCCAACCTCGGGGCGTGGCCTAAGGCGGGATCAGGAGTGACGCTCGTCGTGCAGCCAATCGAGGCTAGGGGCGTGGCCTACAGGCGGCAAAGCCCAGGAACTCCGAGAGCGCCCCCGCGCGCCCAGGGGCGGAAGGACGTCGCGGTATGTTCCAGTAAGTGACATTGTTAAACAGGAGGCAGATGACATTGACGATTGGTTTCTACCATCCTCCAAAGAACACGTTCTGTTACCTACTTTATACACGAGGAATGTGCGTGTCATTGTTTTGTTTATATTATTCATCATTAATGTTTTGTTTTTTTTATCATTAATATTAGTGTTTACTGTTAAGAAACGTAAATGTATACTATTTCTATTTTTATTATATATTTATAGTATATGAATTGCATGTTTACATTAATAAATGCCCATACTCATATAAGTATAATACAAAAAATATAAATATCTGTGCTAATATTTCTGTTACGCTTTCGTGTAATAAAGTTTCATATTCATACAGTGTATTTGATTTTGCATTTATGAAATATGAATATAATAAAGTATATAAATGTTAAATGTTTATATTTTTACTGGTAGGATTATACAACACCATTATATTGTTTACGTAATGATATTCATGTATATGAATAATATAAATACATGAATAACAAATATATAATTAAAATATATGATGTGTAACATATGAATGTATCATGAAATATGAGTAATATAAATGTAATAAGCACATATATAAATATATATTTGCATTTATTTATTTTTTGTTTTGGTTTGGTTTTTGGTTTTTGGGGTTTTTTTGCAGTACCAGGGATTGAACTCAGGACCTTGTGCTTGTGAGGCAGGCACAGCACCATTGAGCTAAATCCAGGCCCTGCATGTTATTTATATATCAATAGTTCATTTATATTATTCATATAATAATGTTCATATGTATGAATCATATAATGTACAAAAACATAAAAATCTATTTGTGTATTCTGTTATGCATATTATGTTTATATGTATATATAAACATATATATGTATATATAACTTAAACTTACACTTGATATCATATTTATATATTTGCGTGTTTCCTTTATATATGAATAATAAATATATTATTCATATAAACATCAATAACAAGTGTAATATATCAGTTGTATTTTACTAAGTTCAATATATGTTGGGATTTTATTTTATTTTATTTTTTGTACTGGGGATCAAATTCACGACCTTGTGCTTGCAAGGCAGGCATCGGAACCACTGAGCTAAATCCCCAGCCCTGTTTTTTCTGGTTTTTTTTTTTTTGAGACAGGGTCTTGCTATTAGTTCAGGCTGGCCTTTAACTCACTATGTAGTGCTGGCTGGTCTCAAATTCATGGCAATCCTCCTGCCTCAGCCTCCCAAGTGCTGGGATTACTGGCATCCAACACCATGCCTGGCTTGGATATATGTCAAGTATATAATAATATGCAATAAATACCAATATTGGGCCAGGGATTTAGCTCAGTGGTTCCGGCACCTGCCTCACAAGCACAAGGTCCCAAGTTCGATCCCCAAAAACAAAACAAAACAAAAAAATAAATACCAATATTAAGCAAAACTTGCCGGAGCTGTAGCTTAGTGGCGCTGTGCCTGCCCAGCAAGCGAAAGGCCCTGAGTTAGATCTCAGCTACTGAAAAAAAAAAAATTAAGCAAAAATTTGTGTGCTCTTATTAAAATATAAATATTAATATGCAATATATGCATAGTCCACATATTAATGTTCATAATTATAAAATAAGGGCCAGGGATTTAGCTCAGTGGTGCCGCTGCCTGCCTCAAAAGCACCAGGTCCTGAGTTTGATCCCCCGGTACCACAAAAACAACAACAAAAAAAACAAAAAAATAAAATAAGTCATGATTACTATATTATTATAACAAGAGGTTAAATGTTTATACCTTTGTGATCCCTCCCTAAATTAGGGACATATTTTTTTTTTGGTTTTATTTTGTTTTGTTTTGTTTTTTTGGTACTGGGGATCCAACTCAGGTCCTTGCGCTTATGCAGCAGGCAGCGAAACCACTGAGCTAAATCCCCGGCCCTAGGGACGTATTTTTTGTGATTTTGTTTCTTTTCTTTTTTTATTTTATATTTTTGCCCTACTGGGGATTCAACCCAGGGCTTTCACACTGAGGTACATCGATAGCACTCAGTAGTGAGTGCTTACCCAGCCTATGGGAGGCCCTAGGTTCCTACCTCAGCCATGAAATCCAGATTCAAGGTGAATCACAGATCCTAGCAGAGGCAGATGGTCAGAGAACTCTTTTATTTATTTATTATTCTTTTTTTTTTTTTTGAGACAGGATCTCTCTAAGTTACCCAAGCTGGGCTCAAACTTGCACCCCTCTTGCCTCAGCCTCCCAGACAGCTGGGATGACAGGCGTGTGCCACCACACCCATTTTCTTACTACTAACATATTCCCAGGACCTGACACCAAGCCCAACAGCCAGGAGACAATAGCATTTGAAAACATCATCAGCCAGATGGGCACTGTTCTCAGCCTCTTACTGGTGGGGAGCAGGAGCAAGGAGAGGATTGGGTGCCTGCTCAGGGGTCGGGCAAGGCTCAGAGCTGTGCATGCACCAGGCATGCCCAGGGCCTGGCTTCCATCCCTGCCCCAGAAGGCAAAAGTCCTCCCGTGCCTGGGATCACACGGAGCCTCTGCTGTGGCCCATTCCCATGCAATCAATTCAGAACACCGATGAAGGCCATGAGATGGCCTGGTGGATTTATCCATGACACGGTTTGATGGTTATGAATTCTTATGATCTGGGAATTCATAACCACTACTGTGGTCATCCCAGCACTCTGGGAGGCTGAGGCAGGAGGATCAAAAGTTCAAGCCCAGCCTGGGCATTTAGCGACTTAGCAAGGCCCCATCTCAAAATAAAAATAAAAAGGGCTGGGATAGAGGTCAGTGTGAAGGCCCTGGATTCAACCCCCAGTACCAAAATATAAGAGTAATAAATAAATAGCCAGGCGTGGTGGTGCACGCCTGTAGTCCCAGCACTCAGGAGGCTGAGGCAAGGGGATTACCGTGAGTTCCAGGCCAGCCTGGGCTACATTGTGAGTTTGAGGCCAGCTTGAACTACATAGCGAGACCCTGCCTCAAAAAGTAATAAATAAATAAATAAATAAATAAATAAATAAAAGGAGAGTTCTCTGAACATCTGTCTCCACTAGAATCCCTGATTCACCTTGAATCTAGATTCCATGGCTGAGGTAGGAAACCAGGGCCTCCTGCAGGCTGGGTAAGCACTCACCACTGAGCTGCACCTGAAGGGGGTTTGGTTTGGTTTGGTTTTTTCAGTGCTGGAGATTGAAGCCAGGACCTTCACAATGAGCTCCATCCTGAGCCCAGTCTGGGCTTTCATGAGCTCCTGGGCCATTTGGGTTCCTGCAAGGTTTGAGGCTCTGATTGCAGCAGCTTGAGAAAGCCAGGGGTCAGATCTCAGTGCCAATCATGAGAAGGAAGCAAAAAAAGAAACAAAAAAAACACCAAAAAAACACAACTGGAAAATCAACAATTGGCATAACAGGCATGATTTAGAGATGCGGAAATAACAGTCGAAATAACCTATTAACAGAGGTAAAGGAGGCACTCCGGGGGGCCCATGTCCTCTCCATGACCTTCCTCAATCTGATGACTCAGTTCTTTAAAATGCACACATAAAAAATAAAATCTTACAGCTGGTTAAATTGGCCCACACCCATAATCCCAGCTACTTAGGAGACTGAGGCAGGAGGATCCCAAGTTTGAGCCAACCCTGGACAATTTAGGGAGATCCTGTCTCCAAATAAATTTTTTGTGTGTGTGGTACTGAGGACCAAACTCAGGACCTTGTTCTTGTGAGGCAGGCGAGGCACCACTGAGCTAAATCCCTGGACCTAGAAATTAAAATTTTAACTGTGGGTGTGGCTCAGTAGTGAACAACCCTGGGTCCCTCCCACTCCTTACTGCAAAAATAAAAAAACAGCGAGTTTTTTTTAAAAAACAGGGAGTGGTGGCACCCGCCTGTCATCCCACCCTTGGGAGGCTGAGGCGGGAGGATCACTGGGAGTTCGAGCCAGCCTCCACTACATAGGAAGACCCTGTTTCAAAACAAACAAACAAAAAGGCTTAGTGCTGGGGTGGAGGGGCAAGACGAGCTAGGGAGGGAATGACCGAGAGCTTCCTTCCCACAGCCCTGCCTCACTGTCCCATTTCAAAGATTAAAACCGAGGTCGCGGAGGTGCGATCGGCTACCTGGCTCCTGGCGCCCCCTGGTGGCCACAGTGGCAATGACCGTCTGCAGGAGACACGGAGCTGGTGGGACTTGTTCTCATCCATGCTGCTCTTCATATTCCATTCATTCACTTGTTCATTCATGCCAAGAGCATGTGTTGCGCCTGCTGTACACCTCCCACTGCTCTAGGACACAGAGAATGAACAAGGCAAAATGCCTGACCTTAAAGACAGCAAACGGGGTCGGGGATTTAGCTCAGTGGTGCCGTTGCCTGCCTAGCAAGCACAAGGTCCTGAGTTCGGTCCCAGGTACTGCAAAAAAAAAAAAGACAGCAGAAGAACCAGGCGTAAGCTACTTTCAAGGGCTAAATGCTTACAAAAGAGCCAGGCATGGTGGCACACATCTGTATTCCCAGCACTGGGGAGGCTGAGACAAGAGGATTGCTGTGAGTTCAAGGCCAGCTTAGACTAACAGTGAGTTGGAGGCCAGCCTGAACTACATAGCAAGACCCTGTCTTGAATAAATAAATAAATAAATAAATTAGACAAAGAACTAGAAAAAACTTAGGACCCCCCTCAAAATAAAAGACCCCATGGAGTAGGGGGCTGGCCCTAATAGGCAGTGCTAGCAGGCGCAAATCTACCATCCACCCCACACAGCCTCAAGCCTTCAGTCTTGGGAATAACCCCAGGAAGCAGGTGCTGTGTCCCTCCTTTTACTTTTTATTTTTCCTTAGCAGCACTGGGGATGGAACCCAGGGCCTTACATATGCTAGTCAAGAACTCACTGAGCTGCATCCCAGAACTTAATTTTTTAAAATTTTGAGACAGGGTCTCACCAAGTTGCTAAATTGCCCAGGTCAGCCTTGAACTCACAGCGATCCTCCTGTCTCAGCCTCCCTAGTGCTAGGATGACAGATGTGGGGCACCACACCTGGCTTCTGTGCCTTCTCAGGCTGTGCAGGGCACAGGTGAGTCCCGGTGTCCCCAGCCTCTGGCCCAGCAGGGGTTAAGGCTGGTGGCTCCCACATGAGGTAACAGCACCTTGCGACAGAGATGCACGCCCAGGCTGGCGGCCATCCTCACGGCCACTCTCCTGCCCGCCCGCCTGTGCACACTTTCGCCGGCCCCACTTGGCAAGGGACCTGTTCTCCCATTGCTACCACGACAGAGGACAAATTGAGCAGACGGGCCAGCCGGCTGGAGCTGCAGGTTGGGGTCTACGCCCTGCCACCCATGGGAGGCAGGGACCCAGCTCCTGGCTCCTGTTGCCTGCCTGGAGTCCACGCACCCTGCTAGACAGGTGAGTTGCTGGCACCCCCAGGACTTTGTCCCAACCAGGCACCCCCAACTTGGGGCCCTGGGACCCCCGGGTGGCCTCCCCCTTAGCTCCCAGGAAGCCGGAAGCCGCCCCTGTGTGGGCAGTGACACAGTTGCCACGGACTTGCCTGGCTCTGCCCGCCTGGCAGCTGCCCAGGACTCCGCTGGGCCTTGAAAGGGTCATTGTTGGCTCAGGTGCTGGGGGTGCGAGGAGGGGCCAGGTTGCTCTCTGGTCTCGAAATCAGCAGCAGGGAGGGGACAGGAGGTGAAAGCTGGCCTGCCCTGGCGCTGAGCCTCCTCCTGGGACTTCCTAAGGGACCCCAAGTTTCTGTGGGTGGCACAGGCATGGAAGAGAGCCCCAGGAACTTGCTTTATGTTTAGGAGCAAAATCTCACAGCTGAGAAATGTGAATGGGGGGCTGGGCACCCAGGGAGAACAAAGGACGCCTCCCTCTGGGGGGAGCACGGCTTGGGCGACAGGAAGCTTTTCTGGGTCACTTGCTCCCAGAGATGACAAAGGCAGCTTCCCGGAGAAGCCAGTGTCCGATTGCATCTCAGGCCTCCTAGTCCAACCCCAAGAAGGGCCTCTGTGAGCCAGCTATGGTGGGCACCCCTGTGATTCCAGCACTCAGGAGGCTGAGGCAGAAGGATCACTCTGAGTTCAAGGCCAGCCTGGACCACATGAGACCCTGCCTCAAAAAAACAAAACAAAAGAAGGCCATCTGGGGCTGGGGCAGGCACAGAGTCCAAGTCCTGAGGATGGAGGGGGCTTGGCAGTGAGGTCACCCAGGACATCATGCTGAGAGCTTCGGGCAGTCTTGGGGACACATCTCTGCCATCGGAGAAGGAGGCCAGATGCTCAGACAGAGCAGGGCCTGTTTCCGGCTCTGCCCCGTGAGGACCCCAAGTCACCAGGTCACTGGACCAGGAAACAATGAAGTAATAGATTCTAGGGCGGGCTGGTCACAGTAAGCCGCTCCACCCAAGTCAGAATTCAGAGCACAAGGCAGCTGTCCCATCCGGCTCTCTGTTCTGCGCAGGAGGAGCCCGGGACTCAGAGAGGGGCAGCCATTCCCCCAGGGGTGCACAGCGGAGCAGAAATCACAGACAGACGAGGGAAAAAACCCAGCGGTAGGAAGTCTGGAGCCTGTTCCTGGGCTCCAACCAATGCCCGGGAGCAACGTCTCACAAGCGGCAGGCTGGGCTGCTTGCTTCCCGGTGACTGAACTCAGGGGGAAGTCCAACCTGGCCACGGGATTTCCAGCCTTCCTCCTGGGCGTGGCCAACAGAGCCGCGTAAGGCGGAGCCTGACACCCATTGGAACCACCTGGTTAATGGCAGCCTGGGCTGGGGAGGCACCGCCCAGGGAGGGAATCTGTATCTATGGGGCGGCTCCTGTCTACGGGGTGTGTTGTTAGCACACCTCAGGGCTCTGCAGTGAACAAGAAAGACCTAGGCCCCTGCTTCTGTGGGGCTTGTGGGGGGATGGAGAAAATGGACAAGAAAAAAATATCCAGCTGTGGTGGCGCTCATGAGTCACCCCAGCAACTCCAGAGGCAGGAGGATCTGAAGTTTGAGCCCAGCCTGGACAATTTAACAAATCCCTGTGTCAAAATAAAAAATAACAAGTGGCTGAGGATGTAGGTGAGTGGTGAGCTCTTGCCTAGCATTCATGAGGGTTCCATCCCCAGCACTCTGAGAGGCTGGGGCAGGAGGATCTCAAATTCAAGCTCAGCCTGGGCAATTTAGTAACTTAGTGAGACCCTGTCTCAAAATAATCCCCAACTAGACCTTGGCTAAGCCCCACAGAGGACAGTCCACAGAACCCCTGCCCAGTCCAGATCTCAGGACAAGGATGTCCACATGCGGTCCTGGGCAGAAAAGGACAGGACAGGAGATGCCAATAAGGGTTGAGTTCATTGTCTTGTATCAATGTTGGTTTCTTAGTTTGTTTTTATTTTTGTGGTTGGACCCAGGGCCTTGCCACTGAGCTACATCTCTAGCCTTTTTTTTTTTTTTGGTACCGGGGATCAAACTCGGGTCCTTGCACTTGCGCAGCAGGCAGCGAAACCACTGAGCTAAATCCCTGTCCCCTTTTTTTTTTTTTTTCAACTTTGAGACAAGGTCTCCCTAAGTTATTAAGTTGCCCAGGGTGGGCTTGAAATTGAGATGCTCCTGCCTCAGCCTCCTGTGTAGCAGAGAAGAAGAGCATGCACCACCATGCCTGGCTTGATTTCTTACTTTTGACCAATAATCCACAAGAGTAATGTAAGATGTAAACAGTAGGAGAAATTGGGGATGGAATACATGATACTTCCCTGCATATTCACTTTTCTACAAAGTTAAAATTATTCCCAAGTAAAATATTTATTAAAAATAAAATAAACTGTGCCTCGCAAGCACAAGGACCCAAGTTTGATCCCTGGTACCAAAAATAAATAAATAAATAAAATGAACTGCTGGGCATGGTGGCATATTCCTGTAACCTCAGCACTCAGGAGGCAGAGGCAGGAGGATACTGTGAGTTTGAGGCCAGCCTGGGATACATAGTGAATTCAAGGCCAGCCTGAAATACATAGAGAGATCCTCCTCAAACAAACAAACAATAACAAGAACAACAAAAATAATAAAATAACCTGCAAGCCAACCACAAGTTTGAGCCTGGCCTTGGCAATTTGGTGATGTAGGGAGACACGATCTCAAAATAAAATAAATAAATAAGTAAAAAGGACTGAGGATGTAGCTCAGTGCAAAGGTCTTAGGTTCCATCGCCAGTACCATAAAATAAATAACCAAAGAGATGAACGATAAATAAAATAATCTCACCAGTGCAGTAGCATAGACCTGGTATTCCAGCACTCTGGGAGGCTGAGGCAGGAGGATCTCAAGTTCCAACCCAGCCTGGGCAACTCAGGAACTTAAAAAGACCCTGTCAAAATAAAAAACAAAGAGAGCTGGAGTTGGAGCTCAGTGCAGAGGCTCTGGGTTCATTCCCAGTACTGCAAAAGAGAGAAAGACAGAAAGAAGGGAGGCAGGGAGGGGTCGACCTGGGGCTGGACTCGCTGTGTCTCCCACCTCCTCTCAGCCCGCTGAGCTCGGTTTGCAGCGGTTTCCTGAACCTGTGGCTTCTCCCTCTCCTCTGCCTCCACCTGGTCCCACTCAGTTCCCAGCTCCCAGCCTCCCCTTCACAGCCTGTCCTCCCTAATGTCGCCCCCAGAGGGCGCCGTGAGCACTGAGCCAGATCCTCCCGCCTCTCCCCTCAGCCTTCCATGACTGCCGCCTTCCTAGGGCCAAAGCCCAAGTCCTCCCTGCATCCCACAGGGCCCTCCCGGCCCACCTCCCGGCCCACCTCCCCACCTCCTTCTCTGCCCCTGGCTCACTCTGCTCCAGCCACACGGGCTCCTTGCTGCTCCTGCACCCTGCCAGACTCTGCCCTGCCCTAGGGCCTTTTCATGCCTGTGCCTCTGCCTAGGACAACCTCCAGCCTCACTCAAGGCTCCTCTCTCTCCTCAGCTCTCACGGCTCCCTCTGCCTGGCTCCTTTTCACCCAGGTCACTCCAAATAATATTCATCCCCTGCACCACCCCTCAGAGTAGCCACCCATGAGCCCCCAGCTCCTGCACCCTCTCCCACTGCTAGGTGCTCTCGGAAACCTAGTTTGTGCTTTTTCTAGGGGTAAGGGAGTTGAGATAGAGTCTCACTCTGTGGCCCCGGCTGGCCTTAAACTCACAGTGACCCTCTTGCCTCAGCCTCCCAAGTGCTGGGATCATAGGTGTGCACCACCACACCTGGCAGCTTACGTTTTTATTTGCATGTGTGATTGTCCCCGTCCTGTCTCCCCAGGACCAGCACTCCTGTCAGGGTGGAGGCCACCTGTCTCCTGGGGTCTGTTCTCCCGGTCTGCAGCCTTGGCAAACAGACCAAGGGCCTGGCTCCCGAGGACATTCTTGGGTACCGGTCAGACCTGTTTGGCCACTGATCTAACCTGAGCCTTCACCCAGGGAAGCAAATCGGCCTCTACCAGGAAGACCCCAGCCCAGCCCCCACCCTGGGCCTCAGTTTCCCCAGGGACACTAAGGAAGGACCACAGCTCCCTTCTCCCTTCTGCCACAGAGCACTGTTTCTCCCTTGGCCGATGCTGGGGCTGCGGCTTCTGTGATCTGATCTCCCGGACGTGGCGTCTCTGGGCATTTGAAATACTTTGTTGGTGGGATTCTGATTGAGTGGCAGAACGAAGGGTGATTGTAGTAGGTTATACATGGCAGAGTTTTACTTCCACACAGTGAGCTGGAGGACGGGAGTGGTGGTTAAGCGGACGACAGCACCAACCACATCTGTCATCCCAATGAGGATGGCAGGCAGATCACCACAAGATCAAGGCCAGCCTGAGCTATATGACAAGTTTAAGGCCAACCTGAACTTCATAGCAAGACTCTCTTTTAAAAGAAAAAACAATATTGGTGCTAATGGATACATAGTGAAGGCTTTCTAAGCATCTGACACACAATCACTCATGTTGGGTGAACTTTTTTTTTTTTTTTTTTGGTACCAGGGATTGAACTCAGGACCTCGTGCTTGCGAGGTAGGTGGTGGCACGACTCAGCTAAATCCCGGGCCCCACAATCACTCGTGTAACCCTTGGAGGCAGGTACAATTAGTGTCACCATTTACAGATGGGGAAACTGAGGCACGGAGCCTGTCTGCGGTTTACACGAGGTCACACAGCTGGAATAAGGCAGCAGCTCAGAGTAATGACTTCTTCCAGGGCCCCTTTAATCTTCCCAACTATTCTGGGATGTAGAAGATTTTATTTCCCCCAATTACAGAAGTAAAAAGGAGTGCACTGAGAGGGTGTACTAAGAAACTTCCCTGCCGACACACAGCAAATAGAAAGAGCTGGGTAAGAACTTGCCTAGCCCTGAGGTTTCTAATGGGTTCTCAGAGAAAGGTCAGGCAAAAATATATCACTCTGGGGAGTCTTTGCGGGGACCTCAAAGGTTTTCATTATGTACCATTGCCTTGCTTGTCTACATGATGAATTCTTCACCAGCCTTCAAAACCCCAACTGCAGTGCCCCTCTCTTCCAAGAACACCCACTCTGGGAGTCTCCTCCCTGCCTTCACTTTCTCATAGTCTGTGCTTTCTCTTCCTGCCCAGAGCTGACTAATTCAGGCTGGGAAAGGGGTGTGTGTGTCTAGATTTGACCCTTTGACCACGGAGTTGGGTGGGGCTCGGCAGAGGTGGGCTCAGGCTTATTTATTTATTTATTTATTCACTTATTGTTTTTTTAGAGTCAGGGTCTCACTCTGGCCTCAAATTCACTATGTAGCCCAGGCTGGCCTCGAACTCGCTGTGATCCTCCTGCCTCAGCCTCCCGAGTGCTGCTGCGAAAACAGGATTGCACCCCCTACCCCCATCCCCCACCGCCGCTTTTTCGTGTTTTGAATGGGGAGGGGTTGTGGGTGGTGCCTACAGCCGGCGCCCACCTAGGTGGCTTCTTCCCTCCCCACCCCAGGTAGAAGTCCAATCTCGGACTGCCGAGGGCGAGGCTGGGCTGGGTGAAAGGAGGCCTGACCTTTGCTCCCAGGAGCCTGGCCAATGTCCTCCAGCCCCGCCCACCTCCCCTGCTGGCCCAGGGGCTCAGCTCTGGCGGGGTGTGGAGACGGAGCGCAGAACTTCCTCCCCTTTGTGAAATGGAGTTGTAAGCCTTCCGCAGATGGACCAGCCTGCTGGAGATGGAGTGATCCGAGCAGGGCCAGGGCTTTCTGCCCCTCGATAAACTCCTCTTCCAAGAGCCACCCTCGAAATATGCCCGTTTCGCGGATGGAAAAACTTTGCACGCCTCTGGCTCCGTTCCGAGCGTGGCTGCAATCCGCTCCGGGTCTTCCTCGCAGCTTGGCCGGCTCCGTCTCTAGCGCCCGGTGCGGGCGCGGGCTCGACAGTGTGGAAAACCCGCCCTGGATTCAGTGTCCCAGGACCGGAGCCCGCGATGGAGGCAGCGAGGGGGAGCCCCGGCTCCGCCGCTTCTCGGAGGCGTGTCGGGCCGGGGCGGGGCGGGCCGGGGACCTGGAGGAGGAAGAGGGGCAGGTGCAGCTGGGAACAGAGGAGCGGGCCGGAGGCGGGCGAAAGCGGGGCTCCCAGCCCGCCGCGACCCTCCCCAGCCTCCTCCCCTACTCCGGGGTGGGGCGAATTGACTGTTTCCAGGACTCCCGCGGGCAGGGGCCGCCGGAGAGCCCGGGGGGTGGACCATGGCGGTGAGATTCCAGGCGAGTGGCTCGTGTCGGGCAGGACGGGGAGGAGATGGGGAGCGGGGTTGGGAGTGGGACCCAGGACCCCAGGACACCCCTTACCTACATAACAGATGGGTAAACTGAGGCCCAGAGGAATGCGGGGGCCAGCCCAGGTTGCACCCAGGAAGTCCAGGCGTGTCTGCGTCCCCGTCCCCGTCCCCCCAAGTCTGTCTCCTTTATCGCGACCTTTCTGCCAATTATGCTGTGCGTTTGGGGGGCAGTGACTCACCCTCTCTGTACCTCATCTGTAAAATGAGCGTCCAGCATTTTAAAGCAGGACGCGGCGCGGCCCGCAGCAGGTGTCAGGACCGCTGTCCACGCCGGCCCAGGGCTCCAGTCTCTCTCTAACCCGGGACATGAGTGGTGACTTCATTTGTGTTGTGAGTTCACCGTGTTGAACGCCGTGAGGCTACGGGACAAACCACCGCTGTTGATTTATTGGGCGCCGAATGCACACAGAGCTGTTACCCGGTGGAAGTGGGGTGCCTGGAGCCCAGATTTTGCACACGAGCAAAGGAACCTGGCTGGGGTGGGTCGAAGATGGTCGATCTTTGCATCGGGCCCCAGAAGGGTAAACTGAGGCACGGCCCTTAGCCCTGGGCCACCAACTCCGAGCTGGAGGGCTTAGCGATTTGGCTTCCCTCAGCCGCCAAGCAGATCGGCCGAGTCCGGAGTAGCTGAAAGTTTGTCCCCCAGCCTCGCTCGGGGCCTTTGTCCTGAAGAGGGGCGGGGCGGGGGAGGGGGCTCGGGAGCCACGTGCTGGGCTGGGTGACTCGGGCCCAGCCCTCCCCTCTCGGGCGGCGCCAGTAGGTGTTTCTGTCGGACAGGTGGTGGGAGGTGGGGACAAATCTCCCCCCGAAATTCACCTTGCCGGGGGCGGGGCTCTGGACACACCTGTTCTTCCACCTTCCAGCGACTCCGCCCATGCTCTCCCAGTGCCTGGTCCGGGAGGGCAATTCTGGGGTCCCAGAGGCCCAAGCCCAGCCCTCCGGGAGCCCCTGACTGGGTATGCAGGGGAGCCAGAGCTGGATTTGGACCCCCTAGGACCGGCCAAGGGGAGGATGCAGCTTGTGTGTAGAAGGAGTTAAGGACCCAATTTCTGCAGAAAGAGACAGTAGCCCTGGGGCTGTGGAGGATGAATAGGAGTTTGCATAGGAGTCCAGCATGGCATGACAGTTAGCTGGCAGGAGGGCCAGGATCTGAGTGGCAGGGGACAGCTACACAGAATCCCAAGGAGGGTGTTCTGGGCAACACAGAACAGACCACCAGGGCAGTAATTTGAGGGAAGCTCAGCCAGCCAGCTGGGTTAATCCCTGGGGCACTGGGGAGCACCGGAGGGTTTTAGACAGAGTCCCTGGTATCCACGGAGATAACGCGCTCAAGCAGGGACAAGCCAGGACCCCCTGCCTCCCTGCTCCCACAGGTACCCTGGACCCCTGGGGACTTTTCCTAAAGTACAGCCAGGAAATCAAAATTCCTTGTGTGGGGGGGGGATTTGCATTTAATCATGCAAAGTATAACATCAAAACAACGAAAATATTGTTTGGAAGCCAAGAGCGGTGGTGCACGCCTGTCATCCCAGCACTCTGGAAGGCTGAGGCAGGAAGATCAAAAGTTCAAGCCCATGGCTGGGGATTTAGCTCAGTGGTTCTGCCACCTGCCTCGAAAGTGAAAGGACCTGAATTCAATCCCCGGTACCAAAAAAAAAAAAAGTTCAAGCCCAGCCTGGGCAATTTAGTGACTTAGGGAGACCCTGTCTCAAAAATAAAAATAAAAGGGGAAGCCATAGCAAAAAGCAACAGATCCCTTGGGTCTGTGTGCTCACTTGGTGACTGACCTAGTTCCTGCATACCTCAATTTCTCCATCTGTGACACAGGGGTGGTAGATTGTACCTTCAATTAAATGAGATACTTTGGGGACCAAGGAAACCCTTGCTCACTCATTTGTTTGGCAAATACAGATGGGTTACCTGCTGTGACTGGATGTGGTTTAAGCCAGGCTGGCTATGGCTGAGGCAGATAAAGATCTTTGCCCTCAAAGATCCACACAATATCCTGGGGTCACCTTTTGTGAAGAAATAGTGGGTAGTGGTCAGGGGTGACCTCACCCAGGAAGTGGGGTGTGAACAGACACCTCAAAAGTCAGTGAGGAACATTCGCAGAGTGATTCAGATGGAGGGCACAGCTGTGCAAATGCCCTGAGGCAGCATGGAGGATGGGATGATACAGGAGCACCAAGCATGTGGCTGGAGCAGAGGGAGTGAAGGGCAGAGAGGGAGGAGTAGAAGCAGGAAGGGGAAAGGCAGGCCATACAGGGCCCTGTGGGCTGCAGGAGGACCTGGGCTTCGGCCCCAGAGAGGTGGGAGCCATGGAGGGCTGAGGGCAGAGGAGGGAGGACATTGCGCCCTCTGGAGGCTGCTTCGGGTAGGACAGGCTGTGGGAGAAGGATGGGAGTCTAGGCCCAGGGCAGAGGTGGCTGAGCTCTGCCAGGCAGAATGGGCCCTGACTGGGAACCGCCCCCCCCTTGCCAGGCCTGATGCCCCTTTCCCATCCCCTCCCAGGAGGTGGCAGACATGGAGGAGGTGACCATCTGGGAGCAGCACACGGCCACACTCTCCAAGGTGAGCAGGCCCCACCCGAGCACCCATGGTGCCCTCGTCCCCGTGTCCCACCGAGAACACTAATGCTCTTGTGTCCCTGTCACTCAGGATCCGCGCCGGGGCTTCGGCATCGGCATCTCCGGAGGCCGGGATGGGCCCAGCGGCTCCGTGGTGGTGTCGGACGTGGTTTTGGGAGGCCCCGCTGAGGGCCGGCTGCGGTGAGTACCAGGGCGCCCGAGGGCCTGGCGGGTGAGGACCTCGTGGCCACGGCCCAAGGCGGGAGGGCCTGGCACCCTCGGGCTCCGTCAACACCAGGCTGTGCTGCCCGCCCTCCCGTCCCCTGGGTGCTTCCTGGTCTGCCCTTCCCCGAAGGTCCTGGGTCCCAGTGGCCCCAGGTTCTCCTGGAAGACAAAGCCCCAGAAATCTCTTTTTTGGCAGAGGGAAGGGAGTCGCTGTGTTCTGAACCCATGGGTGTGTGTGTGTTGGGATTCCTGAAAATATTGTGGATAAAATGGTCCTGGGGCCTAAGAGGCTGATGGGCAAAATGGCACAGCTCAGCCCAAGGAGAGAAAGAGTGTGACACACAGACAGGGGAGGGGAGAGAAAAGCAGAAGGACCTGGGGAGAAGCCCCAGGATGGTGGCGCACACCTTCGATTCCAGCTCTCAGGAGGCTGAGGCAGGAGGATCGCTGCAAGTTCGAGGCCAGCCTGGGCTCCATAATGAGTTCAAGGCCATCCTGAACTACATAGTGAGACCTTGTCTCAAAAAAAAAAAAACAAGTAAGTAAAATAACTGGAAAAAAGAGCAAAGTGCCAACTGTAATTATACCTTCATTGTGTTATGCTGGTTCCACCGCTGGGCCCATTTCACAGATGAAGTGACTGAGGCCAGGAGGCCTGGGGAACTGGCCAGTTAGACCTGGGCATTGCAGACCTAGACTTGCCGAGGACCGTGGGGGCAGGGGGAGAGGGATCCCAGGCAGGGTGTTCCCAGGGAGGCCTCAGCCTGAGCCCCGCCCCTCCCTCAGGCCAGGGGACCACTTGGTCATGGTGAATGGGGTCTCCGTGGAGAACATGACTTCGGCCTTCGCCATTCAGCTTCTGAAGACCTGCACCAAGATGGCCAACATCGTGAGTGTATGGGGAAGTGGCCCTGGCTCGGGGCCATCCCGTGCCCTGTGCTCGGCTGAAGCCGCCTGGCTCAGCCTCCCTGGGTGTACACAGTGTAATCAAAAGCATAGTGAATGTTTACATTTTTAGAAATGCTAGCGGGGCTGGGCATGCTGGTGCACGCCTGTAGTCCCAACACTTGGGAGGCAGAAGTAGGATAATCTCTGTGAGTTTGAAGCCAGCCTGGGGTACATAGCAAGTTCAAGGCCAGCCTGAATAAAATAGCGAGATCTTGTCTCAAAAAAAAGAAGAAAAAAAAGCAATGCATGGTGGCCTACACCTGCCATCCCAGCACTCTATGAGGCTGAGGCAGGAGGATCACAAGTTCAAGCCTGGCCCAGGCAACTTAGTGAGTTAGCAAGACCCTGTCTGAATATAAAAAATACAAAGGGTGGGGGGTGTCACTCAGTGCAAAGGTCCTGGGCACACGAAGTCTGGCCATTGAGGCTCGGAGAGGGCACCCCCTGCCTGGGGCCAACCTGCCCCGGCCCCTACCTTGGCTGAGCCCTCCTGTCCGCCACTCACAGACGGTGAAGCGACCTCGGAAGATCCAGCTGCCAGCCACCAAGCTGGGCGCCCCTGGCCCAGGCCGCCAGGACTCGGATGAGGAAGTCGAGCATGGCCGGGGCTATGAAGGGGACTCATCCAGCGGCTCTGGCCACTCCTGGGGCGAGCGCTCCCGCCGGCCAAGGACTGCACGCCGGGCCAGGGCCAGCAGCCAGGGGCGCAGGAGCCCAGGCGGTGGGTCCGAGGCCAATGGGCTGGCCCTGGTGTCCGGCTACAAGCGGCTGCCCCGGCAGGACGTGGGCATGAAGCCCTTGAAGTCGGTGCTGGTGAAGCGGCGGAACAGCGAAGGTGACAGCGGAGGCCGGGCCGGGGCACTGAGGCCGTGGGGCCCTAGGCTGTGCGATGCCTGGTTCCCGATTCCTGGGACCTGTGGCGCCTCACCTGAGATAGCAGAAGGGACTCTGCAGATAGCCTGGCTTGGTGACGCACACTTGTGACCCCAGCGCTCAGGAGGCTGAGGCACGAGGGTCGATACAAGCTCCAGGCCAGCCTGGGGTCCATAGTGAGACCCTGATTCACACAAATAAAAAAAGTTCTGTGGTGTAGCTTAGCACTCCCACGGTTCATCCCGGTATCGGGGAAAACCCATGGAGATGTCATCGGCTAGTGGGGTGAGGGCACAGTTCTCCAGCTCCTGGAGCCCTGCCTCAGTTTCCCTCCTCCCCCTGCAGAGTTCGGGGTCAAGCTGGGCAGTCAGATCTTCATCAAGCACATCACAGACTCTGGCCTGGCTGCCCAGCACCGTGGGCTACAGGAAGGGGATCTCATCCTTCAGGTGACCCGGGCTTCCCACCCCGTGGGTATGGAGACTGAGGCTGGGCTGGGCAGTGCCACAGAGGACTTTGGAGATGGTTAGGCATGGATCTCCCCTCCCTCCATCTCTTGTGCATCCACTGCCAAATGTTGGTTTCTAGTAACCCCTTGGGATTGGCTGTTTCCAGTATCCTCAAGCTTTGCTGTGCTTGAGAGTCCTCTGTCCAGCTGGCTACAATGCTGCTTCCTGGACCTGCCCTAGGGGTGGGAGGCTCATAGCCTGGAGACCAGGCTTGGAAGGACTGCCTTGCCTCAAGTCTGGATTCTATAAGTCTGTTTCAGTGATTCCTAGTGTTTGGCTTCCAAAGCACTCTCTGCTGATTGTTTCTAGTGTCTCCTTGGATTTCTTTGTTTCTAGTGACCTTGAGAAATAGTCTGTTGCTGGCGGTTTAGGGCAGACTAGAAACTGATAACTTGGTGGGGGCACTAGAAACCAACAATCCCTGGAATTATCAAAAGGAGACACTCGCAAGGGAAGATGTTAGAAATGGTGTGAGAGGTCCTTTCAGGAATTGTGTTTCTAGTCGGCCTCCAGATGTCTGTTTCTAGCACCTCCTAGAGATTCTGTTTCTTTTTTTTTGGTACTGGGAATTGAACTCAGGACCTCTCGCTTTTTTTTTTTTTTTTTTTTTTTTTTTCCCTTTTTTTTTTTTTTTTTTTTTTTTGGCACCGGGGATCGAACTCAGGTCCTTGTGTTTGCACAGCAGGCGGCGAAACCACTGGGCTAAATCCCTGGCAGGACCTCTCACTTTTGAGGCAGGCTCAGTGCTACTGGGCTAAATCCCCAGCCTGAGATTCTGTTTCTTGTACCTTCAAGTGGCTAATCCCTCTTCTTCAGTTAGAATTGCTTCTAATACCACCCTCAGATCAGTTTCTGACATTCCCTGGAAAACATGAGCTTTTCAGGAGAGAGATCATTTCTAATTTTTCCCTACTGTCCCCCACTCCTTATAGATTATGTTTCTAGAGTTCTGTGGACAGTCTGTTCTGGGTGACATCTCCACCCACAGCATGAATCCTCTTTTAACATTTGTCCCAGGGGAGTGTCTGTTTTTAGTAACCCCTGGAGATTGTCTGTTTCTAGTCCTCCCACCAAGATATCTGCTTCTAGTATCCCCATCTCTCACTCCTTCCTGGTCCCTTTCAGATCAATGGGGTGTCCAGCAAGAATCTGTCGCTGAATGACACCCGGCGGCTGATTGAGAAGTCAGAAGGGAAGCTGACCCTGCTCGTGCTGAGGGACCAAGGCCAGTTCCTGGTGAACATCCCGCCGGCCGTCAGTGACAGCGAAAGCTCTATCCTGGAGGGTGAGGGGCCCAGGCGGGTGGCAGCGGCTCAGGTGACAGGAACTTACCTACAGTCACATGGCATGCACACCGGGCCTTGATGTCCCCCCTGGGAAATGGGTCCCAGCTGGCTGGGGTGACAGTGGCTGACCAGTCCCCTCCCCCAGACATCTCGGACCTCAACTCGGAGATGTCACAGGCACCACCTTCACACGTCCCACCACCACCCCGGCACAGGCAGCAGAGCTGGGAGCAGCTGGAGGCCAGCGAGACGGACTCCCTTGAGTGCGTGAAGCGGGTGGGGCGGAGCCCGGGAAGTCAGTGTCACTGGTGGGCGGGGCTTGGAGGCCAGGTCTAGTACCCAGCTCCCAACGTTAGCTTCTCACCGTGCCCTCATTTGGGGCAGACAAGCATGCCTATCTCTATTCCTCTTTTTTTTTTTTTTTTTCTTTTTTGCAGTACTAAGGATAGAACCCAGGGCCTTTGTATTGAGCTACATCTGCAGCCCTTTTTATTTTTTGAGATAGAGTCTTGCTAAGTTGCTAAATTGCCCAGGCTGGGCTTGAAATTTGAGATCCCCCTGCCTCAGCCTCCTTAGTACCTAGGATCACAGGCATGTGCCACTGCACCTGACTAATTAAAGTGGTTGTTTTTGGCGGGGGATTTAGCTCAGTGGTTTCCCCGCCTGCTAAGCAAGCACAGGGACCTGAGTTCAATCTCCGGTACCAAAAAAAATAAAGTGCTTGTTTTTTATTTTTTGAGATGGGGTCTCACTATGTAGTCCAAGCTGGCCTTGAATTCACTATGTAGCCCAGGCTGGCCTCAAATTCATGACAATTCCCCCACCTCTGCCTCCTGAGTGCACCATGCACCACCACGCCTGGCTTGAAGTGCTCTTTAAAATCACCCCTCCAGATCTAACTTTGCCTCATTCCAAATCTGTTCCCCACCAGTGAGAGCCCCCAGCCAAGGCGAGAAAGGTCGTTGGATTCCAGGACAATCTCAGAACCAGGTGAGGGCCGGGCTGGGGACATTGACTCTGAGCACCAGCCTGGGTTTTCTGATCTGGCCAGGGGGGCTGTGCCAGGCGGAGAGGGAGGGGTTGGCACCAGTCAGACAGAGGTGGAGCTGGGGGCAGGGCGCCACACCATGCCTCCCAGCACTCAGGAGGCTGATGGAGGAGGATCGCTGCGATTCTGAGGACAGCCTGGGCTACATAGTGAAACTCTATCTCAAAAACCAAAAAAAAAACCCAAACAGAGATGGGGGAGGGTTTGCGAGGGGCAGGACGCCCCAAGCAGAGGTTGAGAGGCCAGAGGGCTGGTTTGTCTTTCAGACTCGACCCAGGGAAGCAGCAGGGATGCTTACAGGGTTGCCAGCCTCCAGAGCCTGGAGGCCCATGGGTACGTCCAAGCCTCCAAGGCACCCACAGCTGGAGGTCACCCCCTCCTGGAGCAGCCTCGTCCTCCCCCAGGTTGAATGCGGCCACCCTGGGGCTCTTTAGGAAACTGAGGCTGGGGGGCAGGGCTCTGCCAAGGGTGCCTGACCTCCTGTGGCCTGACTCGCCTCCCCTCCTGCAGGTACAGCCCCGACACCCGGGTGGTCCGATTCCCCAAAGGGGCCAGCATTGGACTTCGACTGGCTGGAGGCAACGACGTGGGCATCTTTGTGTCTGGAGTGCAGCCGGGCAGCCCAGCTGATGGGCAGGGCATCCAGGAGGGGGACCAGATCCTGCAGGTGACAGGGGACACAGTGGTGGCATGGGCTTGAATTTGAGAACCTCCTGCCTCAGCCTCCTACATTGCTGGAATGTGGTGTGTGCCACCACGCCTGGCTCAGTTATCCATATTCTGACACAGTCACCGTGGTGGCAGCTCCTGTAGCAAGATGAGACCCTTGTGTCTCCATGACACAGCATCCTGCTGCCCAGGGGGGTGACACCTAGGCCCAGAGCTGTCCCCAAAGTGCCAGAGCCCTGGACAACAGCCCAGGGTGCAGTTGAGCTGGGCTCTGCTCCTAGTGGTTGGGGTCTCGCACATGGCCAGGGGGTGCCCCAGCCTGGTGGCCTCACGAACCCCTTCTGGCAGGTGAACGACACGCCCTTCCGCAGCCTCACACGGGAGGAGGCCGTGCAGTTCCTGCTGGGGCTGCCGCCCGGGGAGGACGTGGAGCTGCTCACCCAGCGCAAGCAGGACCGTGAGTCTCAGGCTGGGGGCTCCAGCCTCTGCCACCCCCGGGCTGCGGGTGGGGGGACCCTGCCCAGGAGGAGAGGACGGGAGGGGGAGGGGGAGGAAGGGGTGGGAGCGAGACGTGGAGCCTCACACGGCCCCCTGCCCACAGTCTTCAGGAAGATGGTGCAGTCGCGCGTGGGCGACTCCTTCTACATCCGCACACACTTCGAGCTGGAGCCGAGTCCTCCCTCGGGTCTGGGCTTCACACGGGGCGACGTCTTCCACGTGATGGACACGCTGTACCCTGGCCATGGGCACGGCTTCACCCGGGGCGGCCTCTGGCTGGCAGCGCGTGTGGGCCGTGACCTCCGGGAGCAGGAGCGGGGCGTCATCCCGAACCAGAGCAGGTGCGCCCCGGCCTCAGTTTCCCTGTCAGGAACCACCATCGCATCTGTTCCTAGCAGTCCATTGGCTCCTGAGTTTCCCGCTGGCTGCTCTAACAAATGACCTTAGACTAAGTGGCTTTAAATGATGGATTGTTTTGTTTTGGTGGCATTGGGGATGGAACCCAGGGCCTTCACACTGAGCTCTATCCCCAACTTTTTTTATTTTTTATTTGAGACAGGGTCTCACTAAGTCCCTAAGTTGCCCAGCCTGAGGCTCCAACTTGCAATCTTCCTGCCTCAGCCTCCCAGAGTGCTAGGATGACAGGCGGGTATCACCAGGCCTGGCTTTATCTGGTCTATATGTCAGAAGTCCTGAACTTCAGGTACAGGCAGTAGGGCTGCTCCTCCAGAGGCTCCGGGGAAAACCCAGGTTCCCATCCCGGCTCCTAGAGGTGCCCACAGGCCTCGGCTTGCAGCCCCATCCTCCATCTGCAGAGCCCGCAGCCTCTCTTGGCCTCTCACCCTCCTGCGCCCTCTCAGCAGGACCCTGGGGGACACTGGGCCCCAGATGGTCAGGGTGACCCCCTCTCAGGGTCCTTCACATGATCCCATCCACAGAGTCCTTTGTGCCATCAAGGTGAAACGGCCACAGGTCCCCAGCATTGGCATGTGGCTTTTTGTTTTGTTTTTTCCTTAGGTATCCTGGGCCTTAGCGCTTAGCTACATTCCTAGTCTCCCCCCAGTTTTGTTTTTTTTTTGGTTGGTTTTTTTTTTTTGGTACCGGGGATTGAACTCGGGTCCTTAGCTTTCGAGGCAGGCGGTGGAACCACTGAGCTAAATCCCCAGCCCATCCCCCCAGTTTTTGAGACAGAGTCTAAGTTGCTAAGTTGCCAGAGCTGGGCTGGAACTCATGATCCTCCTGCCTCAGCCTCCCAAGTGCTGGGATTGCAGGTGTGAGCCACCACAGCCGGCCTGTCTTGGGGACCCTCTTTGTGGGGTCCCAGAGCTCAGGTTGTCCTCCTGCTGCTCTCCCAGGGCTGAGCAGCTGGCCAGTTTGGAGGCAGCACAGCGGGCCGCAGGCCTTGGTCCCAGTTCATCCTCCAGCTCCAACGCCCGAGCCGAGTTCTGGCGCCTGCGGGGCCTTCGAGGAGGAGCCAAGAAGTCGGCCCAGCACAACCGGGAGGATCTGTCGGCGCTGACCAGGCAGGGCCACTACCCACCCTATGAACGCGTGGTGCTTCGAGAAGGTGGGTGTGCGCCTGACATTGGACCTAAAGCCCCGGCCATTTCCCTCTCCTGGCCAAAGACCCCTGCCTGGGTTACCCTAGGGGCAGAGGGAGACAGGAAGGGGCTGCATTTTTTTAAAACCAGTTCCACCTGGGCATGGTCATACACACCTGCAATCCTAGCACTCAGGAGGCTGAGACGGGGTAATTGCCATGAGTTCGAGGCCAGCCTGGGCTACATAGTGAGACCTGTCTCAAAATAAAAAATGAAAAGGGCTTGGGTGGGTTGGGGGGGTGCAGCTGTGTAGTTCAGTGGAAGAGCACTTGCCAGCATGTGTGGGACAGGGCTCCATCCCTAGTACTGCAAAAAAATAAAAATAAAAAAGAAAGATTTGATGCCAGGGATTTAGCTCAGTGGTTTCACTGCCTGCCGTGCAAGCGCAAGGACCCGAGTTAGATCCCCAGTACCAAAAAAAGAGAAAGATTTGAAATTTATTTATTTACTTACTTACTTACTTTTGAGCCAAGGTCTCACTACATGGCCTAGGCTGGCCTAGAATGCATGGTGATACTCCTGCCTCAGCCTCCTGAGTGTTGGACAACAGGTGTGCATCACCACACCTGGCTAGTTTATTTAACATGCTGCATCCAAAGTATAATTTTAATAGATTATCAGTAAACAGGGCTTTTTTCTTGGTACTGGGGATGAACCCAGGCCCTCTTGTATAGTAAGCATGAACTCTTCCACTATTTCACCTCCAGCTCCTATACTTTCATTAACTTTTTAAAATCTAACACCCTATATTCCAAGTATAATTTAAACATAACATCATGTAAGAATTATTAATGAAACATTTCTTTTTTTCTTTTGTGGTGCTGCGAATGGAACCCAAGGCCTCCCCCCTTTTTTTAGGGGGGCTGGAGACAGGGTCTCACTATGCAGTCCAGGCTGGCCTTGAACTCACTGTGTAGTACAGGCTGGCCTGGAACTTGTGGCAATCCTTCTGCCTCAGCCTCCTGAGTGCTGGGATTTCAGGCATGCACCACCACGCCTGGCCCCATTTTAAAATATACTATGCTAAATAGTATATTTTGGAATTATTTGTACTGGGAATGGAACCCAGGGCCTATGCACTGAGCTACAATCCCAGGTTTTTTTTGTTTGTTTTGTTTTTTTTAAACTTTGAGACAGGGTCTCACTAGATTGTTAAGCTGCCCAGACTGTGCTCTAACTTTCAGTCCTCCTGCCTCAGCCTCCCAGAGTGCTGCAGTGACAAGCATGAGCCACTATACCTGTCTTTACCACAATTTAAAAGAATACAAGAACAAACCCCAGCACAATAATCATTTCTCTTGCTGAGGACCAGGGTGGGAGGAAAATCTCATCTGAGTCAGAAGGGGAGGAGATTAAGCTCCTGGCCTCCAGGGAGAGGGATTAAGCACCAGGTGGAGGAGACATTAGCAGAAAACGGAAAATGTGGGGTAGCAGGTGCCCAGCTGGCTCAGATTGACCTCCAGGGAAGCCCTCCAATGGTCCCTTCAGCTGTTACCCCAACATCCAGGGAAATCCTAAAAATAGGAGGGTACCAACCCTTCACTTCCAACCCGAGCCAATGACATTATACAGACCTGAGTATATCGAGAGATTTTGCTTGCAGTGCTGAGTGGAACCCAGGCCCTTTGCACTGAGCTACATCCCCAGGCTTTTTAAATTTCTTACTCTGAGACAAGATAAAGTTGCCCAGGCTGGGCTCAAACTGGTGATCCTTGTGCCTCAGCCTCTCAGAGTGCAGGGATGATAGGCGTGTGCCACCACCCCAGGGCTAGTTTCTCTTCAAGGACAAAACCCAGCTCTGTCCACATCAGCTCTGCCTGCACCCATTGGCCAGAGCGGAGTCATATGGTCAGTTCTAGCTGCAAGGGCGCCTGAGAAATGTAGTCTTCTTGCCGGGCAGGCATGGACCTGGCTATACATGTTACATACATGTACAGGAGGTGCACAGGTAGCCATGCAAAGCCCTAGCCATCTTTGGCACAAATTGGATCCTGATTCTTGTTGTTATGCTGCCCCTCAGCCAGCTTCAAGCGTCCGGTGGTGATCCTGGGGCCTGTGGCAGATATCACCATGCAAAAGCTGACGGCGGAGATGCCTGACCAGTTTGAGATTGCAGGTGAGAAACCAGGTCAGATGCAACAGGCTATGGGGACAGCATGAACTGGGGCAGGCAAGATCCCCAGAGGGGCTGAAGGTTTGACAGCTGTGGAAAGTGATGCTAACGCGGAGCTTAGAAATCTGTAGGTGTTGGGTCCGACAGGCCCACTTTCTGTGTTCTAGGTGCTGGGGCTGACCCAGTACCTGCTGTGTGCTGGGCAAGCACTCACCACTGAGCTGCAACCCTGGTCCTTTTTATTTATTTTAAAAAATTTGAGACAGAAGCTTGCTAAGTTGCCTAAGCTGGCCTCAAATTTGCAATCAGTCTACCTGCCTTAGCCTCCTGGAGCGCTGGGGTCAGTGCACCACTGCGCGAGGCTCTGAGTAAGATGGGAACCCCTTAGGCTGGGCGCTTTGGGGTGGCACGGGGCCCTCTTTCCTTGTGTTCTTCCTGCCCTTGTGGACACAGCAACATCCGGGAAGCTTTTCCAAAAGCTAAATCTGACACACAGGTTTCCAGGGAAGGGAACAGAGTGGGAGGTGGCTCCTGGGAGGAGGCTGGAAGTGGGCAGCGTCAGGGCCACGTCCTTAGTCATTAGGGAAGTGCAGGTCCACGCCAGGAGGGGCCACAAGCATGCCCCCTGGTGACCGGAGTGAAAACAGAAGATCAGAAGACTGCAGCAACTGGGAGCATGAACAGCCGGAACCCTGTGCACTGCTGGTGGGAGGCATGGTGCCACCGCCTTGGGCAACAGACCAGTCACTCCTCTAGAAACCACACTTTGAATTTAGGAGGCAGAGGCAGGAGGATCAGGAGTTCAAACCCAGCCTGGGCAGCTTATCGAGACCTTGTCGCAAAAAAAAAAAAAAAAAAAAGGCTAGGGTGCAGCACTATGGCAGAGCACTTGCCTAAAGACTTAGGAGGCACCAAGTCTATTCCCAGTACCCAGGGTCAGGGGGAGGGAAATAATCAAACATTACCCAGGTGTGATGGCACATGCCTTTAATCCCAGCACTCAGGAGACTGAGGCAGGAGGATCACCATGAGTTCGAGGCCAGCTGGGCTACATAATGAGACCCTGTCTCAAAAAAGAAACAAACAAAAAAAATCAAACATTGAATATCGTGTGATCTAGCAATTCCATTTCTGGGTGTCTCTGCCCAAAATAATTGAAGGTGGAGACTCAAATAGATATGTGCATATCTATGTTCACAGCAGCACAACTCACAATAGCCAGAAGTGAGAAAAACCCACGTGTGCATCCATAGAGGAATGAATACACACAGTGGGGTCCATCTATATGCTGGAATATTACTTAGCCAGGAAAAAGGAACTCCTGTCACTGCTACAGCACTGACAGACGTTGAGGCCACAGTGCTCAGGGAGCTGAGCCAGACACAGGTGGACATGCACCACGGGGTCCCACTCCCAAAAATCCCTGGGGGGTCAGATCCACAGCCCGGAAGGAGGATGGTGGTGCTGGGGCACCTCAAGAAGATACTGTCACCTTCCCCTTCCACAGAAAGCATATCTCGGGCTGACAGCCCCTCCAAGATCGTCAAACTGGACACTGTGCGGGTGATCGCAGAGAAGGTGAGTGTGTTCTGGCTGAGGTCCTGTGTCACGGATAGGGAAACTGAGGCCTGGACATGCGGCCATGTGGTCCGGCCTGTTCCCGTGCCCCACCAGTGAGGCCTCCCGCGGAGCCGCTGTTGGAGTGTTGAGCCACAGTGGACCCCAACACGCTGGCCTGTGGCTGTGAGCGTCAGGGTCCACCCTGGTGCAGACTCTTCATCTTTCCCCACGCTGTCTCCTGGGTGTGTTCCTCTCTCTCAATCCCCACCCCACGGGACAGGACAAGCACGCGCTCCTGGATGTGACCCCATCGGCCATCGAGCGCCTCAACTACGTGCAGTACTACCCCATCGTGGTCTTCTGCGCCCCTGAGAGCCGGCCGGCCCTCAAGGCCCTGCGAGAGTGGCTGGCGCCCGCCTCCCGCCGCAGCACACGCCGGCTCTACACACAGGCACAGAAGCTGCAGAAACACAACAGCCACCTCTTCTCAGGTGGGGGCGCTGTGGGCCCGGGCGGGTCCCGGCCAGGTCCCTTGCCAGGCTGACGTGCCCTTCCTGCAGCCACCATCCCCCTGCACGGGACCAGTGAATCCTGGTACCAGGAACTCAAGGCCGTGATTCAGGAGCAGCAGACGCGGCCCATCTGGACCGCCGAGGACCAGGTACCGGGTGACCGGGCTGGGCTTGGGAAGGTGTCTGGGGTCTCCCTGAGCATGGGGGCACGGCGGGGCTCAGGGCGGGACCTGAGATGAGGGACTCGGCTGTGCAGCTGGGGTGAGGTGAGGCCGGGGGGCTTGGGGTGGTAGTCTCGGCTCAGCCAGGGTCCCCACTGTCTGCAGCTGGACGGCCCCTCTGAGGACAACCTGGACCTTCCTGGCCACGGCCTGGCTGACAGCTCTGCAGACCTCAGCTGTGACAGCCGGGCCAACAGTGACTACGAGGAGACTGATGGCGAGGGTGGGGTCCACACGGATGTGGATGAGGATCCCCCAGTGCTGGCCCTGGCCCGGTCCTCAGAGCCGGTGCAGATGGAGGAGGAGCCCTCGAGCCTGAGGGATCATGGGAGAATCCCGGCTCCCCGTGATGCCCCGGTGAGTAGGGCCTGGCTGGGGTCCCAGCGAGGGTCGGGGCAGGGACACACTCTGGGAGAACATGGTTTGAGGGACTCAGGCCCAGAGTGTGGGAGCCAGTGATCACATTAAAGCTAGAAGAGCTTCCCACGGTGGCCAAGCATGATGGCGCACCCTATAATCCCTGCACTCTGGAGGCTGAGGCAGGAGTATCACCATGGGTGCAAGGCCAGCCTGGGCTACATAGCAAGTTCAAAGACAGCCTGAACTTTGCAGTGAGCTCATGTCTGAAAAAAAAGCCATCACTCAGTAACCATGTAGACAGCTTCCAACCCCTGGGTATCAGATACTCATGACCCCTGTTGGCCGCAGTAGAACCTGCCCATGTCCCCCTGTAGACTTTATTCATTTAAGGAACCAGCGTCTCCAAGTTTCCCAGGCTGTGCTTGAATTTTCGATCCTCCTGCCTCAGCCTGCCAGAGCGCTGGGATGATAGGTGTGCCACCAAAACTACCTAGCTTTCTTATAGACTTTAAAGCATCTGTAAACTGGGCATGGTGGCGCAGGTCCGTCATCCCAGCACTCAGGAGGCTGAGGCAGGAGGATCACCATGAGTTCAAGGCCATCGTGGGCTACATAGTGAGACCCTGTCTCAAAAACAAAACAAAACAACAAATCATCTGTAAAGAAGGTTACACCTGATACCATGTAAATGCAGTCCAGGCAGCTGTTACACTGTATTATTTAGGAATAATGGTAAGAAAGAATTCTGTCCCTGGTCGGTACAGATTTTCTTTTGGAATATTTTGGATCCGTGGTTGGTTGAATCCATGCATGCGGAAGCTGAGGATGTGAGGGCAGAGTACTGCAACCTCGGTATCGCTTTCCTCATCTGGGACAAATGATAACAATGTTGGCATCATGGGGTTGAGAAAACTCCATGTCCTTAGCCCAAGTCTCAGTTTACTATAGTTGGATGTTCAAATGCTTATTCAAATGTTTATTCTTCTAAGTGGGGCTGCCACTGGGAATTCAAAGATGCGCCTTCTCCCAGACCTTCTCTTGGTAAATATTCTGGCGCTCTGGGAGGCTGAGGCAGGAGGATCACAAATTTGAGCTTAACCTGGGTAACACAGCAAGACTCTATTACAAGACAAAAAATACAAAAGGGCTGGGGTTGTAGTTCAGGGCAAGGGACTTGGGTTCAATCCCCAGTACTGAAAAAAAAAAACCCAAAAAACAAAAATCCACTATGATGTCTTTGATTAGAATGAGCTCCCTGGGGTTTTGCAGTGCCCAACCTGCTCAACTGTGCATGGCAGCTTGGTGAAAAGATAAGTCACTGTCTCAGCATTGCATTTGTGAACTCATTTAAGAACTCAAGCTGTCAACAGCCCTCTGGGGAACCCAGATCTTTGCTGACAGGCTGGGAGAGTTCGTCTAAGGTCTCCTTCCCTTCTTAGCCTCAACTTTTTCACTTGAAATTGCGAACAACTTGCAAAGGTGGGGAAGGCTTGTGGGTTCACACTTACTGTGCCCTGGGGGTTGACAGGAACCTCCTTTCTCCCTCTTCCTCCAGGTGGACAGGCAGCACCCCCAGGGCCAGTGGCACCAAGACAGCATGCGGTAAGGGCCTCTGTGCTCAGGAGTGGGGCCCCAGCCCTTCCTGTGGCTCAGACACAGGGGCTGAGGAAGCAGTCTGGGACCAACCTGGGGCTTCTTGATGCCTGTAGCCTAGTGGTTGTAACAGAGCGTGACAGAGCCACTCCAAGCCCCTGAATTCAGGGCCAAAGGAATAAGGATCCTTTTCCTGCCAGGACTCTGAAGGCTTCTTGGAGGGACTGGAGCTGGGGCTTTGTAGGATGCACAGGAATTTGTTCCCAAGGCCCTACCTTCACGGCCCAATCTCACTCCATCTCCTCCCAGCAGGGTCGGCCCCAGGTAATGGCAGGTGAGTCCACGTCTTCCCCACCTGAGGCCTCTACTCTTACTTCCTGATCCCCAGGACTTACGAACGGGAAGCCCTGAGGAGAAAGTTTACCCGAGCCCGAGATGTGGAGTCCTCAGATGAAGAAGGCTACGACTGGGGCCCAGCCACTGACCTGTGACCCCACTGGGTTTCTACCTGCAGGCCCTTCCTTTGCCTCCCTGGACCCGAGATTCAGTTTCCCCTATAGAACCTAGAGCCCTCCACCATGCTTGTGGCCTTTAATAAACCGTGTTTTCACAGCACTGGCTTCCAGGAAGGGCCAGGGTCAAAGGTCTGGGCCAGGGGATCGGATCTGAAACTGTGGTGGCCAAATAAGCTTTTAATCCTTTACATGGGAGAGCGGTGGGCAGGGATGAGGCACTGTGATGAAGCGCGCGGGCTCACAGGTACACGGGCTGCTCCTGGCCGGTGAGCAGGCGGTAGGTGGCGGCTGGCATGGTCTTGATATGCACCTCATCATGGGCCTCGGTGAGCAGCTCGATGATGCGGGCGTGCGGCGTGGCCACCACGCTCTGCCCGTTGATCTCGATGATGCGGTGGCCCACGCGGACGCCCCCGCGCTCAGCGATGCCACCCCGGAGAAGATTGCAGATCTGGGGGTCAAGTGGGATTCTCAGGAGGGCAGGCTGAGACTGACAGCCCCGCCCCACCCGCCCCCTGCTCTACCACACCCAGCCCGCCCTGGTCCCGCCCACCTCAGCCCCCCCACGCCAGGCCACACCCACTGCCCCGCCCCGCCCCTCACGATGCCATCTTCCACGCAAAATCCCAGCTGCTCCCGTGAGTGCAGTCGGCGGATGATGGCCGTGGTGACCGGTGGGCAGTGCACGATGCTGAGTGTCACCGACGTCTGTGGCTTCACCTCCTGCGGGACAGGAGACGTTGGCCTCGCTTGCCCACCTTGGCAGGCTGCAGCCTCCCTGGGGGCCTCAGTTTCCCCACTCGTTGCAGGAGAGCTGGAGCCCAGATCCGGGACTCACACGCACGGCAGCCTGGCATGCGGCCAGCGGCAGCCCCACTAGGCTGGCCCCGTTGACGGCCGTGACGCGGTCACCGATGCTGAGCGCGCCAGAGCGCTCGGCCGGGCCCCCGTGCAGCAGGTTGGCGATGACGGCCGTGGGCAGCAGCGAACCCCAGCCCGACTCCACCAGCGCCACGCCCAGGCCCTCGCCACGGCGCTTCTCGATGCGCACCTGGGACAGAGAGGGGAGCTGCTGGGAGACCGCGAACGGGCGGTGTGGGAGGCCAGGCAGGGCGGGCGGGGCTGCGCCTCACCTCCCTGCAGTTCTCACTGTCGGAGAAGTGGGCCAGGTCGCTGTTGTGCAGGTGGCTGGAGCTGGCGGCCCCCTGGCCGGGCCGGGTGCCCACCTGACTGGGCTCAATGCCGCTGTCACGCAGGAAGAGGCTGTAGGCCACGGCGAAGGCCTGGCCAATGGCCTGGGCAATGACCTGGGCCTGTGGGGAGGTGGTGTGTCCGGAAAGCATCCTACCTGCCTCCTTCAGGGCCCTGTGTCCTCAGAGCTGGGCCCTCCTGGGACAAGGTCCTCAGGACACAGCCTCCTGCCCTGGGGGTTTGGGGGACCTGGGGGAGGGGCTGTAACGGAGGAAATATATGGCAAGGACAGAGGGGAGGTATCAGTTGGCAAAGGCTATAGGAGAGTTTGCAGGATAACCACAGCATGAACTTATCTACCATTAAACTGGGGCTGTTCCTGTGGTAGGCAAGACTGGGTGTTCACTGGGAGGGCCTTGTAACAAACTCCTATTCATCCTACAAAGCCCAAACTCCAATGTCCTCTCCACCTAGAAGCCTTCCTAGTCCTGCCAGGGAGAACATTCCTTTCTCTTGGCCCTGGCTGCAGAGATTTGGAGTGGCTGTATCTTGGCTATGAGGCTTAGGGCACCAGTAAGCCATAGCTATGTAACTTCTTCAGCCCCACAGCCTGAGCTCAAGAGCAGGAAAGATTGGGGAGGCGGGGAGCCAGCTGGGGGTGACAGTCACAGCCTGGTTGGGACCCAGGAGCTCACATCTTCTGAGTGGAAGACGTGACACAACATCTTGTACAGGCGGCAGTTGTGGTCCTGGGCTCCAGGCTTCCGGGCCAGCCGTCGCCGGGCCATGAGCACCAGCACAGGGCCGATGTCGGCGATGTAGGAGATGGTCTGCAAGGCGTGGTCCATCATGGCCTCCTGGGGAGAGGGCGGTGAGCGGGGCCTTCCCCGGCCAAGCCCCTGAAGCCCCAGGCCGGCCCGGTCCTACCTGGGAGTCAGCCGTCAGCACCTTGATCCTCCTGGTGGACACGAAGAGGTCCACCCCTGTCATGGGCTGGGTCTCCCCATCAGGGGCCTGCGGGGCAGGAGGAGGAGGTGGAGCCCCGGAGCCCACCACCCGCAGTCCTGCGCCCCTCCTTCCACTCCCTCAGCCTCACCTTGACACGGGCCATCGCCTCCTGGGCCTGGGCCATGCGCGTGCTGGGGGGCGGGTTCCGCTCAGACAGCAGCTGGGTGGAGCCCAAGTACTTGGCCCCAAATATGACGCCGTCCAGGAGGTCCTCATGGTCACAGGGCCCAGGTACTGAGGGCGATGGGCAGTTCAGCCTTCAGGGCATCCCCAGGCCTGCCTACCCAGGGCCCTGCCACACAGCCCCCAGGAGTCCAGAGCCCTCAGTCAGCCTGGCCCGGTCAGTGTGACCCGGGCTGGGACCCTCTGAGGTCCAGACCCACAACCTGGGCAGACTGGTTTCTAGAACTCTTCAATAAGGCTGGAACCAGACAACCTCACTGCGGATTCTAAAACCAGCAATGTTCTAGAACTAGAGTCAACCCCAGTCCAGACCCAGCCGCATCTGCTCATCTAGACCCTGCTCCAGTCAGCCCAGGGCAACAGGTGACTCCAGTCTGTGGCTGTGGAAGGAGACCACTGCCAATTTCAGGGCCAAAAACTCCCTGAGCGCCCGGAACCCCACATGGCTCCAATCCTGGATTCTGGAACTGACTGACTTGTGTGGCTTCAAACCACACAATCCGGCCAGGTCATCCAGAAACCAACAGTGCGCCAGAAACACCTTCCCTCTACAAGTCTGAAAGTTCTGCTTTCTTCTTCTTTTTTTTTTTTTCAGTGCTGGGGACGGAACCCAGGGCCTTCACACTGAGCTACACCTGCAGCTCTTTTTTTTGGTACTGGGGTTCAAACTCAGGACCTTGTGCTTGCAAAGCAGGCGGCAGAACCACTGAGCCAAATCCCCAGCTCTCTTTATTTTTTACTTTGAGCCATAGTATTTTTGCTAATTCACTAAGTTTTCCAGGCTGGGCTCCAACTTGCTGATCCTCCTGCCTCAGCCTCCCAGAATGCTGGGATTACAGGTGTGTGACACCATGCCTGGCAATTTCAGTGTTTTTAAAGTGTTTTTTTTCTTTATTTTGAAACAGGGTCTTGTTATGCAGTTCAGGCTGGCCTTGAACTCACTATGTACCCCAGGCTGGCTTCAAATTTGTAGCAATCCTCCTGTCTCAGCCTTCTGAGAGCTGAGATTACAGGCACGTACCACCACACCCAGCCTTTAAAGTGCTTTTTATATGGCCATCTAGAAAATTCAGTATCACTCATATGGCTCACATTCTATTTCTACTGTCTGGTTCTGCTGAAGAACTTTCTGATTACACCAGAACTGGACAGTTCTGCCCAGGGTTCTGGTTTCTAGAACAGCAGATAAACTCTGCTTGCTCCACATTCTAGAATTCTCCAGTCTGACTAGAACCAGGCAAGTGTGTACAACACTCCAGAACATTCTCATCAGCCCAAGTCCCTTTAATCCAGGACTACAAGTTACCAGGAGTGGTGGCACACACCCATAATCCCAGCGCTTACAGGAGGCTATGACAGGAGGATTGTCACAGGTTCAAGGCCAGCCTGGACTACATAGCGAGATCCTGTCTCAAAAAACCAAAACCAAAACCAAAACCTAAAAACATCTAGAACCACAAGCAACACACCAAACTCTGGAGCTCCCTAGGTGAGTCACAGCTCCATCCGTAATTCTAGACCTTCTCAGTGCCACATGGCCCAACAGCCCCTCTTCCATCACCACCTTAGAACTTGCTACTGACTTAACCTAAAGTAATATGGAGGACAATTCCAGAACATTCCAGATGGCTAGAGTTGGTTCTTCCTGTGTCTTTAGGGGACAAACAAGCAGCCTTTTCTAGAAAGGCTCAGATGGTTGATATTTTCATTTTCGTGGACCAGATGCTCCATGCCCTAATCATGGGCAGGTCTGAGTAACTGGAGCTCACAGACTGGCCCTACACTGACTGCCACAATATCATTATGCCACAGACCTCACAGCACATCACACATGCGGTCTGTCATTGACTGACATGTCATTATGTGGCACATGACTGTACCCAGCTGTCTTTATCACACCAAAGCAGCCAGGCAACACAGATACAAATGGGCTGTGTCTCGATAAAACTTTATTGACAGACATGGAAATCTGAATTACACACCATTTTTATCTGCCAAGAAATGCTACTTTCCTTTTTTCTTTTTGGAATGAGGGATAGAACCAGGGCAAGTACTCACCACTGAGCTACACCCCTAGCCCTTTTTACTTTCTATCTTGAGACAAGGTCTTGCTAAGTTGTCCAGGCTGACTTTGAACTTGGGATCCTCCTGCCTCAGCGTCCTGAGTAGCTGGGATGTCAGGTGTAGGCCACCATATCCAGCTCCTTTTTTTTCAACTATGTAAAAATACAAAAGCCACTCTCAGCTCCTGAGGCCTGCTAGGACCGGCAAGGGCTGGACCTGACCTACAGATAACCTTTTGCTGACTGATGTTCTAGAACCAAGTGCTGTCAAGGGCCACGCCTGACTCATGTCTCACTCTGGAACATTCTCTGGAGCGTCTCTTCTAGGTCATCAGGACTCACCCTAAAACCACCCTCAGCCTCTCTAGAACTTCACCCTTGTTGGCACATTTGGTGCGGGTCTTGGGCACTGTTTCAGGGAGTCTGGACCCGAGTCCCAGGGCCAGGGTGGGAGGGACACTCACCTTCCTGGAGGGCAGGGCACGAAGCTAGGGCCTCAGGGTTCTGGAAGAAGACAGAAGAGGGGCTGGCCTGAGTCCCCTTGCTGGGCTCCAGGCTGCAGAGGACCCATGGAGGAGGCAGGCGCTACCTGGGCACCAGCCAGCGATGGCCTTTCAGGTGTCACCAGAGATGCAGTCTCTGGCCACGGCTCGGGGGAGCTGCTAGAGCTCCTGCTATCCCCCTGCTCAGCAAAGCCTTGCTCTGCCCAATTGGGGGGTGCAGGCTCCACATCGGGGTCCCCGGGGGGCTGCAGCAGGTGAGGCGCCGGCTCCAGAGACTGGTGGGGACAGGGCTCGGGAGGGGGGCACTCCTCACACCGCAGCAGGCTCAGCAGGTCGTCCTGGCTGGCCTCAGCCGACAGCGGCCTATGGGCAGCGACCACCTCCTGGGGTGCCAGGCCATGCCCCATAGCCATGTGCAGCTGGCAGGGGGTGTCATCTGGGGACAGGCTCGCCAGGTCCCCCGGCAGAGCCTCGAACTGTTGCACCAAGTCCTGGACACTTGATCCTTCGAGTTCCATCTGACTCAGGCTGCTGGGGCCTCCGGGCACTGGGTCCCATGGGCTGTCAGCGGTCGGGTCGCCAGGGGGATCAAGAGTCTCCAACCCTATGGCTCGAGGCCCTGAGGGGGACTGGGGTGCTGTCAGGAATTCCATGCCTGGACCCAGGCTCGGGCTGTCATCTCAGGGCTGAAAGACAGAGACCGGAACTGGAGGCTTCCCAGCTGCTGCTGTCCCCACAGGCATGTTTAATCCCCACTGTGCCCTGCAGGGAAGTTAGGTCCCCACATTCCTTTTTTTCCAGGCCTGGGGATAGAACCCAAGGCCCTCACACTGAGCTCCATTCTCAGCTCTTTGTGTATGTGTATGTTGACTGGGGGGGGCGGGTACTGGGGATTGAACTTAGAACCTTGAGCTTGCAAGGCAGGCGAGGTGCCACTGAGCTAAATCCCCAGCCCGTGGTGATTTTGAGACAGGGTCTCACTAAGCTGCTAAGATGCCCAGGCTGAGCTCCAACTTGGAATCCTCCTGCCTCAGCCTCTCAGAGTGCTGGTATCACAGGCATGCACACCCATGCTTGGGTTAGGTCTCTATTTTACAGATGAGCACACTGAGGCACAGAATGGGGGCAGTCGCTGTAAGGCCCAGGGTGTCCCTTGTCACTCTCAACTCCTGCCCATAGATGGACTTTGTTCACTCCAGCCTTGGTTCCTCCAAGTCCTCCTGCCCTAAAACGTGGAACCCAGGCTGGGCACACAGTTCTTGCAGACTCGGACGCAGGTCCCAGAACCCCAGACTCAACTACTCCTAGTTTGGTGACCCTGAACCTGATACCCAAGACACCCAAATCAAGACTTCAGGGGCCGGGAATTTAGCTCAGTGGTTCCGCCGCCTGCCTCGCAAGCACAAGGTCCTGAGTTCGATCCCCGGTACCAAAAAAAAAAAAAATAATAATAATAATAAGACTTCAGATCTGGAGCTCAGAATTAGCACCAAAGTCTAAGACATCACAAGCTGGGGCCCAGTGGAGCGCGGTGATGCACGCCTGTCATCCCAGAACTCTGGGAGACTGAGGCAGGGGAATCGCAAGTTCAAGCCCAGCCTGGGCAACTTAGCGACTTAGCGAGGCCTAGTCTGAAAATAAAAAAAGAAGAGCTGTGGATGGAGCTTAGTGCGAAGCGCTGAGTTTAAACCCCAGTATCTCCAACCAAAAAGAAAGGCGGACCCCAGTCTTGAAACTTCCCACATCACCCCAAGAACGACCAGACTCGGACCCCAGACCTACAGCGCTGGCCCTAGTGTCCCCGCTTCCATACTCACTTCCTAAACCGAGGTAGCTTCCACCCTGCGCGGTCCCAAGGACCCTGAGTCCCCGGCCCAGTCCTGGCATTTCCGGACGGTTCTGTCAGCAAGCGCAGCTGACTACCCCATCGGTTTAGTAGTCAGCAAGGCGCCCTGACTCTGGGCATGCGCAGACTCGCGGAACCTGCTGGGAAATGTAGTCCTCCCAGCCTGTCTCACCAAACGAGAGCGCTAGGGCTGCTGCGGGTATTGGAGACATGTGTTCAAATCCTGTCATTTATCCCCGCAGGGGGCCCCAATACTGCAAAATGGGGTCATTAATAGGGCAGGGGATTTAGCTCAGTGGTTCTGACACCTGCCTCATAAACACAAGGACCCCAGTTCAATCCCTAGTACCAAAAAAAAAAAGGGGGGATCACTAATCGCTGCCTGCTTCTTATTGCTGTGATGGCACAAAGGAAGAAATGGGGCTGGGAAATATTAAAAAAGAGTGTAAAGTGTGCTCTTTGGAACTTTGGGACACCCAGCTAATGTGTAATATTTTAAGCAAATTAGTAACTGAAGAAGGGCAAGAAGTCAGTGAAATATCCTTTAAATATCATACAGGAGACATCCTACAGGAACTTACCACATATACAAAAGTTCATGAAGCCGGGCATGGTGGTGCACAACTATAATCACAGCACTTGGGAGGCTGAGGCAGGACTGCCGCGAGTTCGAGGCCAGTTGGACTACATAGTGAGTTCAAAACCAGCCTGAACTATCCCTGTCTCAAAAAAACCAAACAAACAAAACAACCACAAAAGTTTAATGAAATCAAATATAATCCCTGGGAGAACTACACTTCCCAGAAGTCCCCGGGAGCCTACAACTCCCAAAGCATTCCCCTCCTCCCCGGGCTGCAGACGTCTCTCTCCGGGAAACGTGCGCGTGCGAACAGTCGGCATACGTCATGGCGGCCTGGCGCCTCTTTGTGGTTACCCGTACGTGGGCCGCCTGGGGGCCCCGGGAGCTCCCAGACCCCACCTACCCTGGAAGACTCTTGGTTCGGTATTATGCCAAGAAGCCAGGTGAGCTGCGTTAAGAGGGAGCAAGAATGGGGAAGGTGGATACACGTGAGATTGATAGTGCGCAGGCGCTGGTTGAGGAAGTGGGAGTTTAGAACCACTGCGCAGGCGCCTGTCTCGGAGAAACCTTGGGGAGAGTCAGGGCGCAAGCCCCAGAATGAACCCGCGAGGCCCTTGGCAGTGTGCTCCCGTTATGTGGAGCAAAGACGTTTCACTGCGCAGGCGCGAGTTGGTGGGGTTTGTAAGGGTGAGGCGAGTGGTGAATTTAGGTTCCAATACTGTTCTTGCGTCCAAATCATTGTGTGATCCAGGAATTGGAGAAAGACAGAGGTCCATTCAAGTTTGTTTTGGTTTGCTTTGGTTTTTGTTTGTTTTTTTTTTTGGTACCGGGGATCGAACTTGGGACCTTGCGGTTGCGAGGCAGGCTGCGGAACCACTGAGCTAAATCCCCGGCCCTTGCTTTGGTTTTTTGAGAAAGGGTCTCACTCTGTAATTCAGGCAGGCCTTCAACTCACTATGTAGTCCATACTACCCTCGAACTCACAGGGATACTCCTGCCTCAGCCTTCGAGTGCTGGGATTATAGGCATGCGCCACCACACACAGCCAAAGTGTTAAACTTTATTAATTTTTTAGCTGGATACAGCTCATCTGATCGCCTTTGTTGGAAGGAGGAAATAGTCAAACGTTAAAAACACCTGAAGCCAAGAGAGGGAGACTTTTTCTATGAGATCAACAAAAAGAATTAAAATAGAATTGAAAGCGGGGCATGGTGGCGAATCCCTGTAATCCTAGCCCATCACTTTGTGAGGCTGAGGCAGGAGGATCCATCCAGCTTCAAGGGTAGCCTGGAAAATATAGTGAGACTGTCTGAAAACAAAAATTTTAAAAATAAAATTTAAAAGGGAATACGTTTAGTACCTAATTTTAAGACTTCTTCTAAAGCTACAGTAATCAAGGCAGTGTTGGTGTAAGGAAAGACTTACAGATCATTTGAATAAAACAGAATCTAGAAATAGAACCACACATATATGGTCCACTGAGTTTTGAAAGATTATTTAACATTAGCATTTTATAGAATATAAACTCAATTCAAGAGCTGAGGAAGAGACAGTGTTTTCAGCAAATGGCACTAGAACACCTGGTATCCGTATATAAAAAATTAACCTCAACCCTTTTTTTCCATACATGAAAATAACTTGAAGGAATCTATAAACCTAAATAAGAAAGCCTACAAGTATAAAACTTTAAGAAGAAATTATAAGGGAAAATATTTATGAATTCAGGGTAGGCAAGAACTACCAGCTGTAGAATTTAGTCCAATATTTTTCTCCAACTAGTGACAGGATCATATGGCTTTTTCCTTTCCTCTGTTAAAGTGATGACTTTTGGGGGTGGATCTTCCAATGCTGAACCAACACTGCCATCCCTATAACAAAACCACTTTCTACATCCTGCCAGATCTGACTTCCAATAGTTTGTTTTGATAAACAAATTTCTACCTATGTTCATACTTTTTTCTTCTATTATCTTTATCCAGTTTTGGGATTAGCACAATGTTGAGTTCCTAAAATGAGGGGAGAAGTGTTCCTTCTTTTTTCTGCTTTAATTGTTTGATATAATCTATCAGTTAAAATGTTTATGAGCCTGCTGTTGTCATATAGGTAGGTTTTCAAGCTAGGAATATACTTTCTTTAATAGGTGCTATTCAAACTTTATATGTCCTCCAGAGTTAGTTTCATTAATTTGTCTTCCAAGGTACTTCTTAGAAGTTGTCAAATTTATTTCAAAAAAGATTTTTGTAATATGCTTTCTATATCCTTTTAAATTCTGTAAAATCTGTGGTAATGTCTCCTAGATCTTGATATTGTAATTGAAAAAATGTATAACTGATACTGTGTAACAGGAAGAAAAGGTCTAAAAGAGCAGGGGAATTGGGAGGGGTAGGGGAAGGGAAAAAAGAGAAAGGAAAAAATATGAGAAGAGGAAAAAAAAATGGAAACAAGGTCTTTGCATATTGGGAAGGGTGGAGGGGGTGAAGGGAGGGCAAGGGAAGGGGAAAAAAAATAAGAACCAAGAGACTCATGTAATGGTACAAGATCCCAATGATGAATGTCACTGTATTGTCTACCTAAAATGTACCAATAAACTTAATGGGGAAAAAAAAAGGGAATGAGTCACTTCAGAGCATTATTTGATGCTGGGTCTTTTCCCACACAGTCACTTTGTAGAGGACAGTAAGGCCAAGGCCACCCAGAGAGGGTCAGGAAGGGAAGTTGGGCTTCCTAGGGTGGAGCCAGGCTGAAAGGACTCCTGCCCTCCTCCCCGCAGTCCTGAAGGGATTGAAGGGCAGCAAAGGTGGTGTGGTCGGCGAGGCCCTGAAGGACCCGGATGTGTGTACAGACCCTGTGCGGCTCACCACACACGCCATGGGCGTCAACATCTACAAGGAGGGCCAGGATGTGGTCCTGAAGCCGGACGCTGAGTACCCAGAGTGGTGAGTGCCCATGGTCCCCTCCTCTGCAAGTCACACCCAGCCTGGCTGTCCATGGGGTGCTGGGTGCTGTGGACCCACCAGAGGATGAGACTAGAACACATGGGAATCCCCAGAAGTCAAGCTCTCTTTTTCTCTTTGTCAAACATTTACTGAGCCCTAGATATATGTCAGGTCCTCTTCTAGGTCCCAGGGGTCTAGAGGGGAACAAAACAGGCAAATATCCCCCCTCTGTGGATCTATTTGGGGATGAGGCAGATGCAGTGGTGACACACTTCTCAGAAAGGCAGTAGGAGGGTGACAGGCCGGCTGATCAGGTCTGAGGCTTTGAGAGGGCTTCCCCGGGGAGGTGATGCATGAGCCCAGGACCTGAGTGGGCCCAGCTTGTGCAAAGGCCCTGGGGCAGAACTGAGCCTGGTGCATTAGAGGAGCAGTGGAGAAGCCCTGTCACCACTTCTGCCTCAGGAGCTACACAGCCCTGACCCCCTCCCTCCTCCCATCAGGCTGTTCCAGATGAATGTGGGCCCCCCCAAGAAGCTGGAGGAGCTGGACCCTGATACCCGAGAGTACTGGCGGCTGCTGCGGAAACAGAACATCTTACGAGAAAACCGGCTGAACCGGAACAGGAAGTTCTAGTGGACCAGGAGGGGCACAGCATGTCCCCTCCCCGCCCAAGACTCTTTACAGGGAGAAAACAGACTTTGACAAGAATCTCAGGAGGCCCCAGCCTGGGCGTGTGTGGCCCCACAGTGAGGCTGGACCAGCCCCGGGTCTGTAAGGACCATTCCAGGCTGGGCACGGTCCCCAAGGCTCTGGCGGAAGGAGTACGGCACTTGCTTTGGCAGCACATATACTAAAACAGGAGGAGCGTGAGTTTGAGCCGAGCCTGGGCAACCCAGCAATTTAGTGAGACCCTGTGTCAAAAATAAAAGGGCTGAGGATTTAGCTCAGTGTGAAGGCCCTGGGTTCCTTCTCAGCACCACAATAGAAAAGAAAAAGAAATAAAATGACCTCCCTCGGCAGCCCTAGCACACCTTGGCATAGTGTGATGTGGAGACACAGTGGGGAGCTGGCCCCCCCTGACTGGGGGTCCCAGCCTCCTCCCAGGCCTGGCTACCTCCTGGGATCTCCTAACCTGGTCCACAGGCCCTGACTCCACCCTCACAGGAGAGGTGAGCCAAGCCAAGCTGGTGTTGGTGGCAGGGGATTCAGACCTGACCCCCACTGGGGGAAGCCGGTAACAGCTGCAGGCACTGCTGGGTCCGGGTGCTTGAGGACTCAGATCTGTAGCTGTCCACCCCGGGGCCTTTTGTCCCCTAGTGGGTGGCACTCTGGGGCAGGGGCAGCCTCAGGACTGCCGGCCAACACCCTTACCCTGCTCAGCAAGCGGAGCTGGGGGAAGGAACTGCCCTTTTTCCCCTGGGGCTGCAGGGGTCCTCATGGGCAGTCAGGAGCCCGGGGCCTGGTCCTGCCCCAGCCCTCCCTAGGTGACCCTGAGTCTCATCCTGGTGTCCGGCTGTGGGGCTTCCTGGGGTCAGGTCCAAGCCTGCTGGTTGGAGGTGCCCAGTTAGGGACAGTGGGGCTTTTGGGAGGACACTGCACCGTGAGTCTGCGATGGCTGGGCCCCTCGTCTCGTCCCCAGGCCCCTCAGTCCCATCCCAGGGAAGTGATCGCCCTCATCCTCTGAGCCAACCGTGCAGCAGCTCGAGCTCACAGCCCCGCCCACCCTGTCCCACCCATCATCCCCCGCTGCTCCAGCCACAGGGAATCGCTGACCTGGCTCACTTGTGCTGCAGAACTTTTGCTCGGCCGCAACTGAGCTGCAGGGCCCTGCACGGCTCCTCCTGGTGTCTGCTGAGCTCCCATCTGCTCTGTTAATGCTGCAGCCCCGGCCGCACCGTTACCCTGTGTGGTCTTTTCTGACGCTTCTCACTGATGTTCAGAGTCCTGTGCTTTGTGAGGCAGGTGCCGGAACCACTGAGCTAAATCCCCAGCACCCCCGCCCCACCCCGCCCCGCCCGAGTCCTGTGCTTTGTATGTGTGCCTTACTGCCACGTGGTGCTTGTGCACAGGGATACACCGGGTGGGCTGGCCGTCCGTCCCGGGTGTAGACAGTGGGGTCGAGAGGAAGTCTGGGCCCAGGGTGGCCCCTGCAGCCTCCCTGTCCCAGGCCTTGCCTGCCCTGCCCTGCCCTGTGTGGGTGGCTGCCCCTAACCCTGGGGACGTGCCCTCGGGACAGGCAGAGGCTGTGCAGCCCTGGGAAACTGGCCTCTCTCTCTGTGCCTTGGTTTCCCTTGTGAAGTGGGGCTGACAGCAGAGCAGCGGTGAGGGGCGGGCTTGTGTGTCGCAGTGCTGACCTTGGTCATTCCTGGGGGAACAAGCCCCAAGAGCCGGGTGCGTTGGTGGATCAGACACGCCCAGCGGTCCCCGAGTGCTGGCCTGAGCCTGCTTGTGCTCCTTGGCTGGCACCTGAAGCGGTGCCTCCTTCAGTGTGAAGCCGTCCACAAAGGCCAGAGCCAAGGTGCAGGGTCCGGGGACACCTGCAGCCCGGGCCCAGGAGGTGGGAAGGGCAGGTATTCATAGCCAGGGCTCCAGGGGCAGCTGCACTGAGGCCTCGGGAGCCTCAGGGCTGCCACCGCCCCACAGCCGGACTCCAGACGCTCTTGGAGGAGCCACTTGGCCTGGGTTCTGGAACCACAGCTGCGGAGTGGGGAGAGGGCTCTCTGAGCTCAGCCCCACCGCCTCTGCTCACCGTCCAAAGCCTTCCCAAGCTCTCAAGGGCTCCATTCTCCACTTGGACCTCGAGCCCTCATGCACGAAGCTCACCGAATGCCTCCAGCCTAACTCCACACCTTAGCTCATGCCATGCAGACGTGTGTCCTGGATGCATGGAAAAACACCTTTTCAGCTGGCAAACTCCTACTCAAACGTCAAGGCCTCCACTCCCCAATCCCTTCCTCAGGGAAGCCTGACTGTCTTTTTGTCTCTACTCCCCACACACGGGGAGGGCCCATATCTGGCCCTGCCTCCCACCTTCCAAAGGATGTCACCTCCAGGTAGTGCACCTTGGCTGCCAGCTCTGTGCAGCTCTAAGCTGGGTAGTGGGAGACCTCGAATTCACTCCAGCTGGTGCAGATGGGACATGGTGAAGATCCTGTGGTTGAGCGGCGCTGCTCCTTTGGGGCCTCCTCGCTCCGCGCCCCCAATGCCTCTCCCTCTCCCAGGCTCAGGAACAAGGCCCCTCCCCTGACAGCAGGGCAGCGGGTCAGTGGGTGTGGGGACAGCGGGAGGCGCTGTCAGCCTCCAGGGATGGCCTGCAGTCTGCATTGCTCTCCCACGGCCCAGTGTCTCTGTGTGGGTCTCCCTATGTAGCCCAGGCTGGCTTTGAACTCGCAGAAATTTCCCTGCCTCGGCCTCCTAAGTGCTGGGATCAGAGGCCTGTGCCACCACAGCGGGTATGGTGCCCTCTGTGGTGCGTCAAGGACCCCAGAAAGGAGGAGATTGGGGGACTGCCCCCTGAAGCTAAGTCTCCACCACTGGGCTCCCTGCACCCCTCCTGCCCACGCCACCTGCCCACACTCTGCCCAGAGCCGCCCCGGTGTTTCGGATGCCCACTCCCGGCCTGTTTCCCTAGCTCTAAACTGGCACTAGGACCTACTCCACAGGAGCCTTACAACTCCTCAATGAGAGCAGGCATGGTGGTACACCCGTGCAATCCCAGCACTCAGGAGGCTGAGGCAGGAGGATCACCATGCATTCAAGGCCACCCTGGACTACATAGGGAGATCCTGTCTCAACAATTTTTTTTCAGTGAGGTGAAAAAAGAAGGCATTGCAGGGCCAGGGATTTAACTCCGTGGTTCCGCTGCCTGCCTTGAAAACCATACTGGCCGCAAAAATGCGACCTCAGGAGGGCAGGGGTTACAGGGTTGCTTTCTTTTCTCTTTTGTTTCCCTCCTTCCCTCCTTTCTTCCTTCCTGTCTTTCTTCTTCTTTTTCCTGTAGTGGGAATTGAATCCAGGGCCTTTACACTGAGCTCCACCTCCCGCCCTTTTCCTTTTTTTTTGTACCAGGGATCGAACTCGGGTCCTTGCGCTTGTGCAGCAGGCAGCGAAACCACGGAGCTAAATCCCTGGTTCTTGCCCTTTTCCATTTTGAGACAGAGTCTAAGTTACTAAGTTGCCCAGGCTAGGCTTGAAAATGTTAGGTAATTTTTTTTTTTTGGTACAGGGGATCGAACTTGGGTCCTTGTGCCTGGGAGGCAGGCAGCGGAACCACTGAGCTATATCCTGGGCTCTGCTTGAACTTATGATCCTTCTGCCTCAGCCTCCCAGCGTGCTGGGATGACAGGTGTGCACCGCCATGCCTCACAGGGGTTGCTGTTTTAAAAAAGGGAAAGTGGTCAGAATGGGAGGCAGGGCACCAGGCTGCAGGCTCTGGATATGATTGGATGTGAAGGTGGGGTGCTGGGTAGCCATGGGGGGTTATAATGCAGAGGCACCACCATCAGCGGTAGGACAAGTATCTATTGTGGCAGGCCAGGAGCCAGGAGGAGGCAGGGGCTGGCGCCCAGTGGGAGAGCACAGAGCCTGGGCAGGGCAAGGGCAGCAGGGAGGGTGAAGCTATTCCCCAGGGAGGAGCTTGGGGGCGGGGGGAGTGGGGTGTCTCCTCCTGCCTCAGCTGCCCCATCCTGCAAGGGGTTTCCCAGGCACTGTGACCATGTGTGGAGGAAGGTGGAGGCTGGGTGAGGGAGAGGTGGTCCCCCAAGAGCCTTTAAAACACCAGGAACCACTTGGGTCTCAGACACCATGAACTGGTCCACCCTGGTGGGTTCAGAGGCGCAGGGGCTCAAGAGACTCAGCCGGGCTGAGCAAGCACTGTCAGCTTAGAGGGGATGGGGGTCAGGGGAGGGGTGGGACAGGGCCCTTTGCAGCCGGGCTATACAGGCCCTCTGGCTCCCCTCCCCCCAAAGAACCAGTAGATCCTTCCTGGTACTGGTGGGGAAACTGAGGCCAGTGGGTGGGCGGGGCTTCCAGAGGACATGTGGGGCGTCAGTGTAACTGGAAAATCTTTTTTTCTTGTTTTTTTGCGACAGGGTCTTGCTATGCAGTCCAGGCTGTCCTTGAACTCACTATGTAGCCCAGGCTGGCCTCGAACTTGTGATCCTCCTGCCTCAGCCTTCTGAAAGCTGGGATCACAGACGTGTGGCACCACAGCTGGCCACTTTGCCTCTTCTGCCTCTACCACCTGCCCTGCTCTTGACATCCAGGCTCCAGATCCTGGAGCCACATGGACACAGCTCTTTCGCATCTATGTCACCTACCTCAGGTGCTGGGTGACAGTGACCAGAACAGACTGAGGCAGGGCGGCAGCGGGCCTCCCCTGCACCCCTCCCCGGACAGGCAGTGGCTGTATACCTACCTGCCCCAGGGTGCCCAGCCCACCACACCCTCTGGAAAACACCCTGCTGCACGTGGGGGTTGCCCAGGCCCCAAGAAGAGGCAGAGTGCCCAGCAGAGGCCAGCTGGTCCTCGTTTCCCCAGGACCTCTCTACTGTGAGCACTGAAGTCCTAGGTCGTGGAAAAGCCCCCTGTGCAGGGTGAGTCCCACTGTGTGAGGAGCCACACAATGACCCTCAGCAGTTCCGTCCGAGTCACCAAGCAGGCACTAGGTCCCTGGACATTTGGCCTTTGTCTGAGGACAGTGTCACCTGTGAGCTGTAACACCGGGGTGTGGGGTGCCATGCCCAGAAGGGTCAGCACACAGTAAGTGCTCAGTAGGGGTCCACTGAGCGAAGGGGAGGATGGGTAGATGGGTGGGTGGGTTCAGGGCACCTGGCTCCTCCACTGAATACCTTGTCCTGTGGGCCGACTGCAGTGGGGACCCCATGGCCCCAGGGAAAGGTGTCCCCACAGTAGCCCGTGGGTGGGCTCCAGTTCACGGGGGGGGGGGGCAGGAGCCGGCTAGGTCCAGAACATAGGCGACCTAGGACCCACAGTGCCTACCCGCAGATTGCCACCCGGTGGGGGCTGGAGAGGCCCAGGGTCTCTGGGCGTGGAGAGGACCCAGCGAGCACACTCATGGGGCCGCCGTGCGTGGGTGGCTCCTGGCGTACGAGGAACACGGTCGCAGGTGGAGGCGCGAGGGTCAGAGAGACGCAGACAGGCCAGTCCTCGGAAGCAGTCTTTATGGCGGCGATCGCCCTTCGTTCCGGGGCTGCGCGGTCCACGGGCTGCCCTGCGCCCCGGCAAGCCGGCCCTGCACCCGCCACCATCTCGGTCCTCGAGGCCCTGGTCCCACATTGGCGGGGGCTCAGGGCTCCTGGCTTAGGGGCGAGGGGGAGCCATTGGTGTCCTGGCTTCCGCCTCCGCCGCCACCGCCGCCGCCGCCTCCGCCGCCGCCACCGCCGCCGCCACCGCCTCCGCCACCGCCTCCGCCTCCTCCGCCTTGGGCCGAGGCGCCCGCGCTGCGCAGCTCCCGCGCCAGCTTCTCCGCCACCTTGCGGAAGGGCGGCCGGCGCGCGGGCTCCGCCTCCCAGCAGCTGCCCATGAGCGCGTGCACGGGGCCTGGGCAGCCCTCGGGGGGCTCCATGCGGTACCCCTTCTCCACCGCCTCCAATACCTCCTTCAGCGACTGTAGACACAAGGCGTGCGCGTGGGCGGGAGTCTAAGCCTGGAGACCTCGGCCTCGCCGGGAACGCCACTCACCATCTTGGGGTATGGGGCCCTTCCGTATGAGAAGACTTCCCACAGGAGCACCCCAAAACTCCAGACATCTGACTTGCTGGAGAACTTCTGTGGGGTCAGAGGGCGGTTGAGGTGGGGCCCCCAAAGTTCCTGTTTCTTTTTTGGGGGGAGGGGTAGTGGGAATTGAACCCAGGGCCTGCACACTGAGCTACACCACCAGCCCCTTTTTATTTTGAGACAAGGTCTCCCTAAGTTGCTAAGTCACCCAGGCTGGGCTCCAACTTGAGATCCTCCTGCCTCAGCCTCCCAGCGTGCTGAGTTGACAGGTGTGGGTACCACCATAGCCGGCTGCCCCCAGGTTTGTGACCCTCCCTCTCTGGTCTCCTACCAATAGACTCCACCCCTCAGGCCCTCCACAGTTGAGTGGCGCTCAGACTGCAGGGCAGAAGCTCTGCCCACTTCAGTGAGGGGGAAACTGAGGCCAAGAGAGGGGGAAACTGTGGGCCTCTTGTTTAGTAGGCGGCACAGCCATTTCCCTTAGAGGTTAGAGAGGCCCAGGGATGGACTGAGGGTCATGCAACAGCGCTGGGCCCCAAGCCAGCTCTGCAGGACCCCAAATCCTCGGGAGGGGGTGGAGGGTCGGAGGGAGGCTCACCCCATGCTTGAGGGCCTCGGGTGCTGTCCACTTCACCGGCAGCCGGCTGGAGTCCAGCCCCTTGCGTTCGGCTTTGGCCAGGCCGAAGTCGCTGACCTTGGCCACCAGGTCCTCGGACACCAGTATGTTTCGGGCGGCAAGGTCGCGGTGGACCAGCTTCTTGCTCTCCAAATACTCCATGCCCTCGGCCACGTGCCTGGGGAGGGGCCTCGGGAAGCTCCCGGCTCCTCCCTGCCCCGTGCCTCGGTTTCCCCGAGCTCAGCACCCACCTCCCCCCCGCGGGGGCCCCCACTCACAGCGAAAACTGCAGGAGCTGAGCCGCATTGACGAGGGCGCGGCCCCGCGTGCGCAGGAAGTTCACCAGGTTGCCCTGCAGGTGGGGGACGCCATGGGCTCCGCCGCCCTGTCCCCGAGCCCGCGCCCGCCCGCTGGCCCGCGCCGAACCTTGCTCACGTACTCCATGACGATGTACAGGCCTTGGTGCAGGATCACGCCCAGGAGCCGCACCAGGTTCCGGTGCTGCAGCTTCCTGGGGGGCACAGGTGGGGGTGAGGACCATCCGGGACCCCAGCCCGCAACCCCCACCGAACCCCGGCGCGCGCACGTCATCACCGCCGTCTCATCCAGGAAGGCCTGGGCCGTCACGTCGCACTTGATGTTCTTCACCGCCACCTTCTGGCCCAGATACTCCCCCTGCAGGACAGCTGAGGTGCGGGGAACAGGGGTCAGGACCACAGCACACAGGGCACAGGGCCACATCTATGCACCCCCACGGCTGCGAGGTGGGGCCCAGAAACAAGGCCCACGGCCCTACAGGCCCCAGACCCAGCTCTGAGAGAGGCAGGAAGCGAGGGGGTCCGGAGGCGCCCCGGCCCAGGCCCAATCCGGTCCCCTCCTATTGTCTGCAAAGCCCTGAGTCTCAGAGTGGTTTGCAAGTTTTTCTTTACTTTTTTTCTCTTTATTTCCTTTAGGAGGGTGGGAATTGAACCCAGGGCCTTTGCACTGAGCTACATGGCCAGCCCCTTTTTGTCTTTTATTCTGAGGCAGGGTCTCACCAAGTCACTAAATTGCTCGGGCTGGATCTCCAACTTGAGATCCTCCTGCCTCAGCCTTGCAACGTGCTATATGGTTTAAAATCACTCGGAGCCAGGCATGGTGGGGAACTCCAGGAGGCTGAGGCAGGAAGATCACAAGTTCAAGCCCAGCCTGGGCAATTTAGTGACTTAGGGAGACCTGTCCCAAAATAAAAAATGGAAAGAGCAGAGATGTAGCTCAAGGTGAGAGCCCTGAGGTCCACCTCCAAGAGTGGAAAAAAAAAATGGAGTACTGATCTCAGGCAAGCAGAGAGACCAAGAACAGGGAGAACCTAGCAGCTCAAGGAAACTGTTCGGATTGCCTGGCCATCAACCCAGGTCATTCACGCCCAGGACACCTGCTATCCACCCCCCGCCCCCCACAACAAAATTGGGAAACTGAGGCTCAGAGTGTGCAAGCTCAGCCTCCATCACACAGCTCGTAGGCACGAGGAAGGGTCTGAATTCAGCCTGGGCCCCTGCACCCTTGCTGGTGGCCCGCACCCTCACCTCCGAACTCCCCCTCTCCAATGGGGCTGCCCAGCGTCAGGTGCTGCAAGTGCAGGAGCCAGCCGGCTGCGGGATGGAGAGAGGTCAGAGGCACCCATGGCCCACCCCAGACCTGTGTTCCTCCAAGCCGGGCATCTGGCATTGCACAGGGCTCCGGCCTTCCTGTTCCTCTCCCAAGCGCCCTCATTCCCTGCAGCAGCTTCTGGAGGCTCCTCCTCTTTCCCCCCAAGACACAAGCTCTGAAGTTGCAGGCAGTCAGGGTACACACTGGTCTCTCCCAGGCACGGTCCCCAGGACTCTGGGGACACCATCATCAGCTGGAGAGGCTGCAGGGATGACTGGGGAGTGGAGGCCAGGCACTGGCTTTTGGCCTTGAATAATGAGCACTGCAGCACTCAGGGGCTGGAAAAGCATTTCAGGGGAAGGGAACAGGACACAAGGTGGCCCAGAGGCATTCAAGAAATGTGGATGCCATGATTAACACAGGGATGTGTGTGGAGCAGGAGGTTCACAGAGGAGCCTGGAAATGCGGTAGCCACAGAATTCAGAGCAGGGACGGCATGCAGATAGATTTTTCATGCTAGAAAGATGTCTTGGAGCCCTGGTGCAGGGGCCAGGATGGAAGGGGAGCTCCTCCAGGAAAAAGGCTGGGGCACGGAGGGCCTTGACTGGTGTGAATGTCACTCCTGGAAGGAACTTGGCCTTGGAGGGCACAGGAGGTGGGCTGAGGTGCCAGATGGAGTTCTCAGGTCATAGTGGCTGATGGGGACACAGGAGGGGCAGGTGTGGTGGTCTGGTCTGTACGGAGCTTATGTGAACCTGTGAGTGACCCTCTGCCGGGCAGAGTCCGAAGAGTGGCTAAGGTGGGCCAGGAGGGTCCCGCCCCTGCCCCTGCCTGGGGTGACTGTTACCCCTGGCCAGCTCCTCCTCCGCCGACTTGGTCCCCTGCTTCCTCTTGGGCTTCACGAGCTTGGTACAGATGGGTCCCTTGTCCTTGCTGTAATGCTGGGGGGCAGGGCGGGGTGGTGTGAGCATGATCTGGGGCACAGGGAGCCCCTGCACCCATCCCTTCGTGGGTGGGGTCTCAGGGCAGGAGCTGGGGAGCAGGAGAGGGGGCTGGGTCCCTGCCAAGGTGGGCCGGTTTCCATGGGAACAAAAGGCTGCAGGACCCCGGGCCCAGAGGTAGAATCAGGGTGACTCAGGTCACCCAAGGGGTGGGGGTCCACGGGACGCCCCCTCCATCCGGGAAAGATGCGTCTCCGGGGGAGAGGGGGGCTCCCAAGGCCCGGGTGCCCTGCCCGGCCACCTCCACCATGTCCATGAGGTTGCAGAAGCACACGGCCTCGTCGATGGTGAGGTGCCCGTCCCGGTGCAGCACGCGGTAGTGGATGACGTCGCGGCCGAAGCTGACGCACAGCACGTAGTCGCCGGGGTGTCGCGCAGACTCGCGCACCAGGAACAGCCCGTCCTCGGGCGGCTGCAGCTGCTGCACGGCCTCTTGGCCCGAAATCTTCCCGTGGAACCACCTGCGGCGGCGGCGGCACCGAGAGGGCGCGTGGGCCGCCGGGCTGGGGACACCTCCGGCCCACCTGGTCCCCCAGCCCGGGCCTGCCCTCTCCCGCTCACGGCATGAGGCTGAGCTTGGGGTCCGCAGAGAGGGCCTCGCGCTCCCGCAGCGCCCCCGCCGCCAGCAGCCCCTCCTGCCCGCTCGCGTGGTGCTTGGCGCGGTACCAGCTCTTGTTCTGTGGGGGAGCCGGGGACAGGGCAGGGGTCGGCTCGGGATCCCGGCGCGGCCCCTGCCAGCCCGGCCGAAGCGCACTCGCGCGTCCTCACCTCGCAGGCCTCCAGGATGGTGACCACGTCGCCCTTGCGGAAGGCCAGCTCCCCGGGCTTGGGGCGCGAGTGCTCGCACCTGGTGATGCACTGCGTACCCGGGGCCCAGCGCCTCTGGGAGTGCAGGGCAGGAGGTGGAGGAACATCCAGGAGAGGCGGGCAGAGCGGAGCCGGAGCCGATGGGGGGACGGGAGGGACAGAACAGAGCGGCACGCGGAGAGGAGGTTAGGGCGAGAGCGCGACTTAGAAGCGCCAGAGCCCGGCCCCGGTGGCACGGAGGTCGGCGCGCGTCCTCCGCGGGGTGGAGCTGAGGCCCGCGGGCCCCTCCACCGCAGGGTGGGGGCAGGCGCCACGCTGGGGGTACTCACCGTTGGCATCCTGGCTGCGAAGGGCGGCGGTGCCCGGCTCGGGCGGAGCGAGGGTTCACCTGGGGAAGGGACAGGCAAGCTGGGGGCCCCGGTGTCCAGTTCCTTCCATCCAGCGGCGAGGTGGGGCCGACGGCCACGAGGAGAGTCCCCTCGCCCCTTGGAAGAGACCTTACCGGGGAAGTCCCTTAGCCGAGTCACGGCCACCAAATGCCAACCAGGAAGCCACGGAGCCTCACCCCGCCATTGCCCCCACAGGGAAACTGAGGCCCGAGACAGGCACAGAGGCGACGGTCCCAGGCTGGAGCGGGGTTGGGGAAATGGTAGGCTCAAGGGCCCGCAGCCAGCAGTTTAGGGAGCCGGGTGCCACCTGACTGAGCGTGGCTCTTCCTCTTTCCCGGCCAGTGGCCCGGCCGCAGTGAGGGCAGACATGAGTCAAGGTCATTCCTGAGAACCTCTGACCCTAGGGTAGGGCGGGGCTGGAGCCTCGACCCAGTCTGGCTGGCTCCTCGGTCCCCCACGGGAGCCTCTGTGATTGCCCCTGCCCTGCCTAGAACGGAGGCACCAGGCACCGAAGTCCTCGGCCGGGGCCTGGAGGCTCCTGGCTGCCTCCATGTCCCCAGGGCAGTGGCGAGGTGCGGGTGGGGAGCAGTGAATCCCATTCCCGTCCTCACTCCGCACCCCCATAGGCAGCCCCGCCCGCGCGTCCCCACGCATACCGATGAACGTACACACGCGCGCGCCCGCAGAACACACCCGGGCCCTCCCTGCGCGCGCCCGCGAAAGCCACCTGGAGACAGGTGCGCGCGTTCGGCGCGGCCGACACCAGAGGAAGCGCGCACCTGGCCCGCGCTCCAACACCTGGCGCGCGAGCTTCACCCGGCCCGGTGCGCACAACTCACGTGCGCGCGCCGGGGGATCGGGGCCGCGCACCCACCCCGCCGGGATCCCCCACCCGCACCCCGAGCCCTGGGATTCCCCACCGCCGCGGGGCGTCTCCTCCCATCCGCCAGTGCTCACCTGCTAAGAGGGTGCCTGCGGGCCGCGCTCCGCGCCCGCCACCAGGAGGGGCCCCCGCAAGCCGGCTGCGCACCCCGAGGCGGCCCGGGCTGCACAACTTGGATCAAGTTGCTGCTTCGTTTCCTCATTTTTTTGGAGAGGGGTGTAGGGGCGGGGGGCAGCCGGAGGCGCCGCGGCCTGGGAGCCCCCGCGGGTCCTAGCGCCGGCCGCACTGCGGTCCGCTCCGCGCGCCGCCTCCGTCGCCGGCCCCTCCCCGCCCCGCCCCCACTGTCTCCGGCGCCTCCTGCGCGGGGCCCGGGGGGGGGGTCCCCGGGAACACTGGAGGTCCCTGACGTTGGCGCCGCAGGGCGCACACTGGCATCCACCCTGGGGAGTGGGGCGGGGGGGGGGTGTCGGATGGCGGAGCAGGTGGCGCGCGCGAGTGCATGCTCGAGTGCACGCGCACGGGCGGGGTGGTGGGAGGGGTGAGCTGCCTATCTGGGAAGGTAAGCAACCCACTGAGCGATGAAGACCCTTCCCATTCTGCAATTCTGGCGCTCTCAGCCTCACTCCTTTTAGGTTGTGCTGCAGGGATCTGTGGGTGCTTGCCACAGAACAATGGCACCCCCAAATGCCAGCCACTATGGGTATCATCATCAACAGGAACGGAAATTGGGGCCAAGTTCGCTCTCCTTTGATGGACATCACTCTGGGTCTGGCCGCGGTGGTGGCCCTGGGAGCGGCCCTCACCCACCACAGGTCACAGTGCTGAGGAGGAATCGTCAGTGACACAGATGGGGCTCACAGAGGGACGAAGGGGACCCAGATGCCCGGGGAGGCCGCGCCTTTTTATTTCTTTTTAATCTTGGAGCCTGGAATGGAACCTAGAACCTTTGCAACTGAGCTTCATCCCCAGCCTGTTTGATTCTTTATTTTGAGTCAGCATCTCACTAAATTGCCCTGTCCGGGCTTGCACTGAGATCCTGCTGCCTCAGCCTTCTGTGAAGCTGGGATCAAAGGCATGCACCGTCATGCCCAGCTACCTGTGCCTTTTTAAATGTGTTCCCCCAAGGGACTAAGCATCGCTGACTCCGCCTCTCCCTTGAGTCTGGGAACAGAGGCCCAATAGCAGAACTCCAGAACGTCACACTGTGGAATATTATGCGGCAAGGCCCGGGAAACTGTTGAGACCATGCACTTGGCCGGGAATTTAGCTCAGTGGTTTCACCGCCTGCTGCACAAGCACAACGACCCGAGTTCAATCCCTGGTACCAAAAAAAAAAAAAAATTGTGAGACCATGCACCTTGATCCCTTTTGTGTTACCCATGAATCAATTGGAGGGGTGGGGACGTCCTCAAAAGCGACACCTCCACCTGTAGCAGTGGCCAGAGGGGGGGAAGCAGATGGTTCCCTAGTGGTGTTTCGTTTTGTTTTCATTTCCCATTGGCAGCGGCGCCCGCATTCAGCACCCACCGTTCTGGAGAGCTAGCTTTGAGGAGGCCTAGGCAGTGGGTCCCCCAAAGGGCCGGGGACCATGCAGCTGTCACTCTGTGGTCACGCGGGGCTCACACCTTATGGAAAGCCCCTACAGCTTGCCTGAAATAGAAGCGTCAAGAGAAAACAGAGCGGAAACCCAACCAGGACAGGTCTGTTGTGAGCCTGAACGTCGCATGCAGGCAGGGCACCATCTCTGCTCACAGGCGCCTGTGCTGCGTGGTGAGGGGCACTCAGGACACCCTGGGACCGATGGAGAGGCTCCCTGGACACACCAGGGATACAGAAAGGGTGCAGGAGGGGTCAGCTTTTTCTCGATGCAAATTGATGATCTTGATTTTTCTTTTTTTCTTTCTTTTTTTTTTTTTTTTGGTATGGGGGATTGAACTTGGGACCTTGCGCTTTTCAAGGCAGGCGCCGGAACCACTGAGCTAAATGCCCGGCCCCTCTTTCTTTTTTTTTTTTTGAGACAAGGTCTCGATATGTAGTCCAAGCTGGCCTTGCACTCACTATGGAGCCCAAGCTGGCCTCAAACACATTGATCGTCCTGCCTCAGCCTCCCGAGTGCTGGTGGACTTGCGCCCCACACCAGGCTGTAAATGGATCTTGTTGGTGCTGGAGATGCACCTAAAGCCCTCCCCAGGGCCCCTGGGTGTGCATACAGGGCACTGAACTGCACCTGATTTGAGGAAAACAGATTTGAGCCTATGACTTATCTGGGTCAGAGGGAGTGAGGTTCCCATCCAGGGATGCAACCAAAAACTGGCCACTTTGAATCTCTAAGATTCCATGGCTCTTTGAGTCCCCAGAGGTGGCAACACCACATATCCTGCTTCCAGCCACCTGGCTGTCACCCCACTTCACTGGCCTGGATGGAAGGAATGGGGGAGGGGAGCTGCACCTTGAGAATGCACTTCTGTTGGGCCCTGGTCCCCTGAAGGCTGGTGACCCAGGAGTCCACCCCTTCTGATCTTGCTGTCACTCCTCTCCATTGCGTAGCCAAGGAGGGGAAGTGACTGTGGTCCTCCCTTGCTCTAGATCCTTCCATAACTCCCCAGTGCCTGTGGGACAGAGCCCAGTGAGCTCAGTTTGGCACCCAGAGCTCTCCTTTCTCCTCCCACTGGGCTCCCACACTCCAGAAAGTAGGGCCTGCAGGAGTTCCCTGCAAGCAGCTCCCCTTCCCACATCCGGGTATCATTCATCTCCATCTTTGCATGAACACTGTTCCTCAGATTCCCAAGGTCCTCAAAGCCACATTTCTCATTTGAGGCTTGGAGGCCCAGGGAAGTGAGAACACTTGCCTGTGGTCACACAGCTGGCCAGGGCCAAAACAGTCGGCAGACCCCTCCGGTGGACTGCAGACTCCTGACAGGCATGCCACAGCACTTATTCCCCTTTTCCTAATGCCGCCATAAATCATAATAGGTAGCAAAAAAGGGAGCTGAGTGACAAGCACATTACACAATGCATCCTTTAAGATTAGCCTGAGTTCCATGGCATGGAAAACCCAAATCATTATTGAGGGAGGCCATTCAGGGCTGTGTCAGGGTCCCAGACATCTGCCATCTTGTTGCTCTGCCTCTTAGCACACAGATTTCCAACTCTAAAGTGGCTGCTCCAGCTCCAGCCATTGCATCTGCCTTCCCAGCCACTAGGAAGGAGGAAGGCCAGGAGAAGAGACCCGCTCCTCCTTTTAAGGACTCTTTTTGGGAGATCATATGACTTGTTCCTTCATCATAATGTGTGGAATGTGGCCAGAAGACCACACCCAGGAACAGGAGAAGCTGGGAGACATCTTTAGCTTGGAGGCTGAGGAGAGAGAGTTGCTTTGTTTACTAGCTGCATCCTCTCCTGAATGTCATCTCCCCAGGGCAGGGGACTTGGACTCTGTCACTTTGCTGTGAGCTCAATGTCTGACTGGCACATAGTGGGTCCTCAAAACAGACCCCCCACCCAGTACTGGGGATTGAACCCAGGCCATCTGCCCTGAGCTCCACACCCTGCCCAATTTATTTATTTATTTTTGGTACCTGGGATCGAAGTCAGAACCTTGCACTTTCCAGGCAGATGTGGTGCCACTGAGCTAAATCCCCAGCCCCAAGGCCATTTTATTTTTAATTTTGAGATCGGCTGTCACTAAGTGGCTAAGTTGCCCCAGGTTGGGCTTGAACTGAGATCCTCTTGCCTCAGCCTCCCAGAATGCTGGGATGACAGGTGTTCGCCACCATGCACAGCTTCAAAATCAATTTTTGGGGGGCCAGGGATTTAGCTCAGTGGTTTCGCTGCCTGCTTCGCAAGAGCAAGGGCCCGAGTTCAATCCCTGGTACCAAAAAAAATTTTTTTGGTACCGGGCATGGAACTCAGGACCTTGTGCTTTTGAGGCAGGCGGCGGAACCACTGAGCTAAATCCCCGACCCACAAAATAGATTTTTAAAGCCAGCAAAATTTGAGGGGAGTTAAGGAGCAGCGCCTCTCACCTGGGAGGGAGGCTTTTGTTGCATCATTTGTTTTTTTTCTTGGTCTTTTTTTTTTTTTTGGTACCTGGGATCGAGCTCGGGTCCTTGCGCTTGCAAGGCAGGCGATGAAACCACTGAGCTAAATCCCCGGCTCTAAAGGAAAGTTGGAATCATTTTTTGGGGGGGGGGCGTACTAGGGATCGAACTCAGGACCTCACGCTTGTGAGGCAGGCTGCAGAACCACTGAGCTAAATCCCCAGCCCCTCTTCTTGTTTTGGGGGGGTTTTTTTGGTACCGGGGATCGAACTCATGTCCTTTCGCTTTCGGGCAGGCGGCAGAACCACTGAGCTAAATCCCCGGCCCAGCTAAATCCCCGACCATCTTCTTGGTTTTTTGAGACAGGGTCTTGCTATGTAGTTCAGGCTGGTCTGAACTCACCTTGTAACCCAGACTGGCCACGAACTAGCGGGGATCCTCCTACCTCAGCCTCCAGCGTGCTGGGATTACAGGTGTGCCCTACTACACCCGGCCTCTGTTCCCATTTTGCAGACTGGAAAACCAGGCTCCCAGTTGGGTACACGGGAAGGGGAGGGGCTGGGCACTGAGGTCGCAAGGACACCTAGGGCGCATGCGCAGGAGGTGGCCGGCCTAGGGCGCTTGGAGCCAGGCGGGTCCAGGCGGGGCGACTCGGGAGAAGCTGTCCCCGCCCATCCTGTCCTCAGCCCCAGCACTGTCTGATTGCATTGCCCCAA